CCGAAAAACACAAGAAATAATAGGAAGTCGGTGACAACAAAAAAGATGATGGCAATGAAAAAGAAAAGAAAAAAAAAGAAGAAAGAGAATAATAAAACATTGAAGAAGAAGAAGAAAGAGAATAAAATCTGGAATAGAAGAAAATCAAAAGATGTATGAGAGGAAGAAGAACAAGATGTGGAGAAGAAGAAGAAGACGTGAAAAAGAAAAACCGGAAAAATAAGAAGTAAGAAAATACATAGAAAATAAAGAAGAAAAAATAGGAAAAAAACAAAAAAGAAAACAGAAAAAAAAGAAAGAAAGAAGAAAATGATAGAGAAAAAAAAAGAAAGAAGAAAATGATAGAGAAAAAAAAATTAAAAGATAAAAAGAGAAAAAGATGAATAATTCATATTAAATTTGATTTTAGTTTGTGTTTATTAATTTTATACACTTATTAATATTAATTTTAAGGTATTTAATGTTAAACAATGATTATTATAGATTAGCTTTATTTTAATTTTGTATGTATTTTAATTCTTTTCGATTTCTGACGTAAAATAAAATTTTACGTTTCAGTGAAACTCTTCGGTCTGTGCAAGGCGCGGACTAAACACCTAGTATAAATATATTTACTTGGAAAAATATATACAGCTATATTATGACAAAAAAAAATATATAGCTATGTTCACAATCGAAAAAAAGGAAAAGAATATAGTTATGTACAGTATACTGTTATTATGTTAAAAATGATATAAAACTATATTTTTAATTCGGGAAACTAGAATTTTGTTAGAGATATAGTAAAATAAATAAAAAAAGGGAAAATCATATCTCCATGGATTAAAAACAACATTACATTTCGCTGCGCTTCTTCGCCCTCAGATTCTTCACCTTGAAAGACCAATAACATTATTTCCAGATCCAAACAATGCCATCTTCACTCTCTCAAATTAGGGTTTTCTCCAACTTTTCAAATCCCTAATTCTTGGGCTTGCATCAATCTCATTGGATTTCCTCTGGACTCTTTGCGATCATCGAGGTCTGTATTCCTCTTCCGCCTGCCGAATTAAGATCAGAAGCAGCGAATTCCTCGGAGCTTTCCTCGATTTTTCAGCTAGGTTTCCAGTGGTGTATCATCTCATCAGTTGACCTTTGCTTTTATAGCCAGATCGTTCGTGGTTGAGTTAGGGCTCTTTACAGGTTTTCGTGTTGATGAATTTCCGCCTCGGTTCGGGAGTTCAGTAATTTCTCCTCTCGTTGTAGATCGTGATTTGGGCTTTTAGGTTTTCGTTTACTGGTGGCTGGGATTTACCGTATCCTTATCGAATTCGGACTCTCTGCATGTGTAAGCCTTAAAGTCGGAAGTTTTCCCCAGTTTCGTTCTTCAAAGAGTTTCTTCTGCTGTAGAGTCAAGATATTTACGCGCACTGAGAAGTTTTTAGGAACTACGTTCTGTGGATTGTTGTAGCCTGTAACTATATAAACACTGGGAGGGGATGTTTGGTTCTACATTGGATAGCAGCCGTGGAAACAGCGCTGCCTCAGGGCAGCTTCTTACTCCGACCCGCTTCGTGTGGCCTTATGGAGGTAGAAGGGTCTTCCTAAGCGGATCTTTCACCAGGTAAGATGGCTGAGCTAGAAGTAGGATAACTACTCTGTATTAAAGTATCCCTCCGTTTTTCTAAATTTAAGGTTGCTTGTGGTTTATCCGATAGATTACTAGCTCCGTGTAGTATTTATTTGGTTTCTGTAGTGCTTAGACTGATTGTTGGAATGGGCGTGTGAACAGGTGGACAGAACATGTGCCAATGTCACCACTTGAGGGCTGCCCTACTGTTTTTCAAGTCATTTGCAACTTGACGCCTGGTTATCATCAGGTTAATAATTTGTACTAGACCTGTTTCATAAGAAATTATTTGTGAGTTAGTCCCTGCTGGAGCATTTTTCTCCTTATAGTGACTCTGCGACGTCCATGATACTGATGCATTTAGTCTCTAGATGCTTAAGCAATGCAATATGCATGAGAATCATATATACCTCTGTCATAGTGGACTACATTCCCAACAGGTAGTGGCATCATTGAACAGTCTGTAATCCATGGTAGCATCATGAACGTGGCATTATTGTTAGAAAGATCGTGCAGCCATGGGAGATTCTTAACTGCATATCCGACTTAAACTAGTAATTATTTTAGTTTTTCTGTGTTGGATGTACTTCATCTAACATGATGCCGATTATTCAGACCTAAGAAGTCACTGATGTTACATTCAGTTATTTTATTTTCATGCAGTATAAGTTTTTTGTTGATGGCGAATGGCGGCATGATGAGCACCAACCATTTGTAAGCGGAAATGGTGGAGTAATGAATACAATATTTATAACTGGACAAGATATGGTTCCTACTGGTTTTATCCCAGAGACACTTGGCCGAGAGAATATGGATGTGGATGGTGTCTTCCCGCGAATGGTAAGGAACTTGACCCTTTCTTATCCAAAAAATCCAGTGTTTTGATATGTTTGTTTACTTATTAGCATCTTAGTTGCTTATTCTTTCTTGCGAATCTGGAGTCTTAAAAGAGATATACGATCTTTCCAAAAAGGGAAAGATGTAAAATCACCTACATGTGGGAAAAACCATTTTTATGCTGATAGTGATAGCATCTTCTTTCGTTTTCTAGTTGGCTGAAAATCTATTACCACCAAACATTTAGAAATTTAGCTGTGTCGTATTGTCAACGTTTGACTTATCAGTTCTGTGAATTGTGTTGCAAGATAGTAGGGCTCCCCTTAATATAAGATAATCTTGACGCATTACCGATGGTAAGCAAAGATTTTACTTTTACCTAACATTTGACAAAGTGGTACTACATTTAAGTTACTAATACTACTTCATATTATCGGCTTATGAAGAAGAAAGGCTTCCGAAAAATATAGCAACAGAAAAAGAAGACAACAACGTACTTAATGGGACAGAGATCATTTCTGATGTTGTTGCTTTATGGGTCTGGATGGTGCCACTAAGAGCGTTTCATGATAAATACCGAGTGTTGAACACAAGGATGTAAATTAATATTTGTCTGTTTGTGTTGGTGTTTGATGGCTTTATTGGCTTGCCCTTGCTGATAGATTCTTTAGGTTTCCTGAGTTTCTTCCAGTTCGAACTTTTGTAATTTTAATCTGTGGTTGGTAGTCTTACATCCTTAGTTGAGATATGATTGATTTTACACCACTATTTGATGTAGAGAGCAGGAATCCTTATGTTCCATAAATTGTCTCTGAAGATTACATTCAAATTGAGTTTCTGACTGCGTTCTCATGGTGATTCTGTTGTAGACTGATTCACCTCAGGAGTCTATCCCTAGGATGTCAAGTGTTGATTTGGAGGTGTCTCGTCATCGTATATCTGTTTTATTGTCTACTCGTACTGCATATGAGCTGCTCCCAGAGTCGGGCAAGGTCTGGTTTCTTCTTTTTCTTATTGTTTGATGACTTTTGTCTTCATCTCAGATTATCAATGCGAATAGCTTCTGGCTTATTAGTTGGAAATTGTCTAAGGTGATCGGAAATTGTTACAGGTTATTGCATTGGATGTTAATTTACCAGTGAAGCAAGCATTCCATATACTCTATGAACAGGTTTGCTCTATTTACCAGTGTGTCAATTTCTGCTCTTGTTGCATCCAGACCGAAACAAAAGGAAGTGATACTATAAAGAACTATATTCGTCCAAATTAAGTTTTAGATTATGCGGCTTTCTCATTTTTGCTAATTCGGTATGGTTTCAGGGGATCCCTTTGGCTCCTCTTTGGGACTTTGGTAAAGGCCAATTTGTTGGAGTTCTTGGTCCACTGGACTTCATTCTAATACTGAGAGAGGTTAGTTTCTCCAAAAATTTGTTCATTGCTAGATCATTCCTTCGAGTTATTGATGTATCATTTCTAGAGTTTCTAAGAGGAGAGGAAATCTCGATACGAATGATGAGAAATATCATAAATCCTGATTTTGGCTACCAGAGGCCTCTGTAGTAAGAAACATATGTATACACCGAAATCTGCTTTTATCAATATGACTGACTAATATTATCCCATATTGTTTTTGGGCTTAAGGTGGGCTCTTGTGTTCCATTTAAGATATTAAAGCCACCCTGTATAGTTGAACTCATTTTCTACGGATTTTGAGTTCCTTTTTACTGCGCCTTTTTCATTCATCCTGAGTATGGGTCTATGGGGACAACGATACTATTGTGGGGGTCACAAATATTCATCTGCTTTATTGTCTATACTTAAGTTTTTATTTGAAGAATTATAAGAGATTTGAATGGTTTTAAAGTGTTTTACCTGCTGTAAAATAAACATATGTTTCACTAGCTTTGTCAGTATGAAGCTTTTCACTTTTGCGTGGTAATAGCAACTCTTTGAAACTGCAGCTTGGAACACATGGATCAAACTTGACCGAGGAAGAACTTGAGACGCACACAATAGCGGCCTGGAAAGAGGGGAAGGCTCATATTAGCAGACAATTCGATGGGAGTGGGAGACCGTATCCTAGGCCACTTGTTCAGGTAAGATTTTCGTAGTTGCTTTCAATCGCTAGCAGTACTGATCTTTTCGTGTAGCTTCCTCTAAAAGATAATATCTCTTGATTGTCTTTTCTTTTACTTTTTGAAAAGGATTCTCTTGCTATCTCTGTCTTACAAACTTTGTACGCAAGTATTCTATACAGTTGACCTAAAAATATAGGTTCTAAATGATTTAAATTAGTATGACTGCTCCACATTTTGGATTGGGAGGCATATTTATCTGGAATGTAACTGAATTCTTATATGCCTGTCTACTTATCTACATGTTTACTTCTCCAAAATTAACTATTTTAATGTCCTCTTCTGTTGTCGTTCTCTGGATATAACCTTGTCCTAGAAACTTCTATTGCATGTTACAGTAAAAAAAGCTGGAAGACTTTCTCTCTTTGTACTAATGTTTACATATATTGCAACCAGGTTGGGCCCTATGACAATCTGAAAGACGTTGCCCTGAAAATTTTGCAAAACAAGGTGGCAGCCGTTCCAGTTATATATTCTTCTTTGCAGGATGGTTCATATCCGCAGTTACTGCATCTTGCTTCACTATCAGGCATATTAAAATGTAAGGTCCTTCATTTGTGAATAAGACCATAAGACACTAATAGGCGCACCAGATTGGCCATACACATTTTCAGTTCATGATGTGCATTTGATTCTGCCGTTTCCAAATTTTTTCCTCTTCTTTTTCTCCAAATAAATATATCGTGACGGAATGAGTGCTTTAGAAGGGAGGCAATCAAAGTTTTACAGTTGGAATAGCCTGTCCCGAACTTTAGTCACAGTTTTCCCTGTGTATATAATTTTTTCTTAACAGACACTTAAGCTCTAAATTAAGCATAATCTTCCAGGTATATGCAGATACTTTAGACATTCGTCTAGCTCTTTGCCAATCCTTCAGCAGCCCATTTGTTCCATTCCCCTGGGTACTTGGGTCCCTAGAATCGGAGAATCAAGTAGCAAACCTCTCGCTACACTGAGACCACACGCCTCTTTGGGTTCTGCGCTCTCATTATTAGTTCAAGGTAATCTGTTTTTCTTGTTTCATCAAATTATTATTTAAAGTTCATCCGCAACTTGAGAATAACCTCTACATTTCAATCAGGTTTCTACTTTTAAAATTTCATCATAGATGGTTAAATCACGATGTAGCTGAACACTTGACCTTCGTTTGTCCTGTCTTATCAAAGTTGTTTTACAGAGCATCATATCAAGGTTTAGATGCTACGACCACTCTTAAAAGTATAGTAGACATGTACTTGTTGCAACAGTTCAGGTTGACATTCACGTTAAACTAAACTAACGAGGTTTAGAGAAGTGGGAAATCTAAGTTGAATCAAAAGCGAATAGATTTCAGAATTTCACGTGATGCATTGCATGCGAGTACCTATTTCTGTCTCCTCAGAGATTGGAATGAATGAATCTTGCTTCATTTGTGTCTCTAATATCTTTTGTTTTCTGGTTTTTATAGCTGAGGTTAGTTCAATTCCCGTAGTTGATGACAATGACTCGCTTATTGACATATACTCCCGAAGGTAAGCCATTATCCATCAATCGACATGATATGAATTCTGCATTCCATATTTGAAGCCATGTATTCTGATCACATATCTTTTACTGACCAGTGACATAACTGCTCTGGCTAAAGATAAGGCATATGCACAGATTCATCTTGATGACATGACGGTTCACCAGGTAAACCTCTCATCAGAAGTCAAGAACCATCCCATGTCTCATCATAGTTTTTTATTTACGAAAATTATAAGCTATCAGCGAAAATTGCCTCCTTTCTAATTCTATGTATCTAGAAGAACGAAAAAGAGAAAATGATATAGCTATGCGGCTAAAGTGGAGAATGCGTATGTAATTTCAGGCGCTGCAATTGGGGCAAGATGCGAGTCCGCCTTATGGAATCTTCAACGGGCAGAGATGTCACATGTGCTTGCGGTCAGACTCTCTTCTGAAAGTGATGGAGCGGTTGGCGAATCCAGGTACCATCTCCAATACAGTCTTTAGCTTTTGTGTCTCTTGATTACACACACGAACATCATGAGAATGAGAAGCATATCCGGTTTTGCAGGTGTAAGGAGGCTGGTGATAGTGGAAGCAGGGAGCAAACGTGTTGAAGGTATCATATCTTTGAGCGATGTTTTCCAATTCCTGCTCGGTCTTTGACTCCCACAACAAAACAGCCTCCTCAAAGCTCTTATTCTCATTTCCTCAAGTCAAACTACCCAACAATTTGCTTCTTCTTTTTTCTTCTTCTTTATGTGTTTTTTTTTTGGGTCCTTGCAAGGAATTTGTAAATTTGCTACGAACCTCTTCATTGTTTTCTTCTTATTTTTGTTGTTTTAGTTGAACCCATTCTTGTGAAGATATTGGCTACCGGAATCATTACTAGTAGCTTCTCTCAGCTTTTTTTATTCCCTCTTATTTCATCAAGCTCAAAAATACCAACGCTATGTAATGGTAACAACACGGGAAGGCCATATGACAAGATTAAGAGTCTCACCATAGATTACGGCTATGATTGAAGTTTATAAACAAATACTATAACATGTAATCTCTTCAGATCTTTTCTGACACGTTTTCATCGAGGAGATTACGACCGCATAAATAACTAGGCTCTTGCACGATAACACTCATTGACCCAAAGAAACGAAACAAATAATAATAAAATAACACTCTCAAATATTCCCTCTTTTACATATATTACGCTAAACAATTTCTCATGACTCTAAATCAATAGTTATTCAAGAAATTCAATTGTTTTTTTGAAAATTAAAATTTGGTATCATTTATTAGTATAAATTGTATTGAAAACTTTTTTAAAATATATATATATATATATCTAAGAAACAAAAGAAAAAAAAACACTAAAAAATTTACGAGGATTAATATGTCTTTGGAATGAGTGATGATGTAATAAAATCTACTTTGGCTTATCCAGCAAACTCACGCTTTCTTTTCTTTTTTTCCTTTTTTCGCAAAAAGTGACTTTGAAGTGAGAGTTGTCTTTAGAGAAATTTATATGTTTGACACTTTTTGACTTTATATTTACAGCATTTTTGTTTTAAGTGGTACTTTCCTTACATCTTCTCTTGCAAAAAGACATCATGATCCTCTATCTCACTAACAGCCACTTAACCGATATTTATCTAACTAACCTAAACCAACATTATAATATCAACACTTGCAACACTTTTTTGCTTTACTCTGTACACGTCAGCCCCTGATTTTTTTTCATTATAGCTTGTTTACTTCAGCTTATTCTCGCAGGTATCAATTTTTATTGTATAATCTCAATGATAATTGTTGCTTTTATCGCTAATAAGTCTAGTTCATCATGTACGAGCTCACCGGCGACACCCAGTTCATCGTTTTGGTAATTTTCTCTTTGCAGTCATCTTCTCTTATTCTAACCTCCGATCCACATGTTTTTGAGCTACTCAAAACTCTTGGTGTATTCGGGGTACGAATCAGGACTGTATCAATAACCTAGACTTCTGTGTCCACATTATGCAAAATTTACAAAATATGGCTCTTTTTGTATTCTCCTAGAGTAAGACATTGAGATTCCGTTGTTGGGCTTGTGTTCTTCCCACTCGTAGACATGTACATAGTTTCGTACTTGTGGACATGTCCACAATAAATAAATCATCACATGCGATTTACACTTGTACAATGTATGGAACTTACACATGCACATAGTTTCCGACATGATCTTACATATATATGCAAGAGTCATGGCGTGTTTATTGCAGCCTTTTTTTATAGATCATGTGGACGTCTTAATTTGAAGCTTAAATATATACATATTCATATATCAACATATTCATATATCAATTCATCTGTTGCCCCTACCAATATAAATTGATTTGTACATATCCACAGGTCACGATAAGGCCATTGTTTCTTTTTCCTAAAATAGTTTTTACACAGATCATGACACGGATCCACGTTTTCCACTAAATATGTTTGTATCCATATATAATGTACCCAATCGCCATTACCAACGACGAAACTATGTACATGTCCATATTCTTTCTTACATATACATATATGCAAGAGTCATGTCGCACCACTTTTGATGTTTTTTACATATCGTCATAATCAAAGATAACGTGGACGACTTCATGTGATCCCTTAAATATGTTTATATATCACTTCGTCCACAGGACCTATATATATATAAGAGTACGTGTGATAATCACTTCATCCATCGTCATTACCAATCTACACGATATGTACTTATCCACGAATCATGTTAAGTTAATTGAATATTCTTTTAACAGATCGTCATAATCACAGATAATGCGGACGGACTCATGTGGTCGCGTAATTATGTTCATATCCATATATCAATTCGTACATCATCACTACCCATACAAACGATATGTACATATCCACAGAGTCTTTTTTAAACAGATTGGCCTAACCACATACCATGTGGTCGCCATCATGTGTTCACTTAACTATGTTTATATCCATATACCCATGGACATATCCACTGTCATAGCAAGAGCCATGTCGTGGCATTGTAGATCGTTGCCCCAACCGAAAAGCTATCCCGAAAGGATCCCAAAAATCATCGCCGACCAAAATCGTTTGCCATATGGTTGTGTCTTTCAAATATTATTAATGTCCACTGAAGCTAGAACACATGGACACGAACAATCATGGATCATATCATGTATAATTTGACATGGATAATTCGTTTCTAATGTCTGCAACTATCCATATAGTTTTCGATATAGGTTTTTGATCCCGAGATGCGTAACCGCCTCGACAAAGTGTTTGTGAAGCTGCAGCGTTCATATGAGGCGAGGCTGCTTGAGAGTCCGTGTTGAGCGTCTCTGTTAGCTCTGGAACTCTACATCTGCAGAAACCACCATGAATTCGGCGGAGAAATTGGCTTATGCTGAGCTGGACGTCGATGGTGAAGCAGCGTCGATGGAGGAAAACTAGTCTTCTACTTCGTGAATCATGTGCTCTCCCATCGTATTCGAGCATAGAGCCATGACCGAGTTTCAGCGAAGAGAGGTGAAGGCGGCGGTTGGGGTCAGAGAGGTCGGTGAAAGAGAGAAAGTAAAGAAAGAAATATTAATGCAAAATAGAAGAGATGAAAAAATTCGGTTTACAAACTTAAAATAAACCGGATTATTCAACTCCAAACGTTGGTAAGGATTATCTTGGAATTTTACTTGCAAATATTTAGATAAAGTGCTAAAAAAGAAAATACCAAAAAATGTAAATAGAAACTCAAAAAGAACTAAATCATGTAAACACCTCTTGTCCTTAGTCCTTTCAACAAGTTTCAACTTTCAACTTCCAAAAGTGTTTGTTTGCTGAGATCAGAAACTAAAATGGCGGAGATCGGGAAGACGGTACTAGATTCCGGCTGGCTAGCGGCGAGATCCACGGAGATCGATGACGACGGCGTCCAGCTCACTACCACCAATCCACCGTCCCTCGGTTCCCAATCTCGATGGATGGAAGCCGTCGTCCCTGGAACGTAATCTTCACACTCTCCGCTTCTTGATTATACAAGTGATTTTTTTGTTCCAATGTGTCTGTCATTTCTGACACAAGTTTGGATTTTGCCTTCAAATATTTATATATCTTCGGCGACTGAATTGCCTCTTCTTGTTTCATGCAAGAACGAGAATTTTGCTGATATAGGTTCTTCTTACTGATCCTCTGGACAGTGTTTTGGGCACACTGGTGATGAACAAATCTGTTCCAGATCCATTCTATGGACTAGAAAATGAAGCTATTACGGATATTGCCGACTCCGGAAGGGACTACTACACATTCTGGTTCTTCACCCAATTCCAGTGCAAAAGGGTGAACCACTTTCTCTGTTAAAACAATTTTTGCTATTTCACTATGTTTTTTTTTTGTCTTGCTTTCTTTATGTGTATAAACCCTCTTATTTTTTTGTCTGTGTGTTTGACGTCTTTGGCAGTTGTTGAATCAACACGTGCATCTGAATTTCCGTGCCATCAACTACTCTGCGGAAGTGTATGTGAATGGCCACAAGACAGTGCTTCCCAAAGGGATGTTTCGCAGACATACACTTGACGTTACTGATATTCTGCATCCCGAGAACAATTTACTTGCTGTTATTGTTCATCCCCCAGACCATCCTGGGACTATACCTCCCGAGGGTGGGCAAGGTGGTGATCACGAGGTACACCTCTCTTTCTCCCTCTCTCTGTGAGAAGCTCATGGCATTGTTCCTTCTTTGCATCAAACACTATACCCAATGTGTGTGGCTGAACATCTTTGACAGATTGGGAAGGATGTAGCTGCACAGTATGTGGAAGGTTGGGACTGGATTTGTCCAATTAGGTAATGCTTTAACTTGGTTTCTGTTTAAGAAACTGATCTTATCGTATAGTTAAAAAGGTAACTCTCTCTGATAACATTTTCCTTGTAGGGATCGGAATACCGGCATATGGGATGAAGTGTCAATATCTGTTACTGGGGTTAGTTCACATTTTCTTACAGAGATAATATCTGTTTGAGTTTATTGTTACGTTAAATGTTGTAAATTGTTTTTAGGAACTGAATTGTTTTGGTTGCAGCCTGTAAGAATAATTGATCCTCATTTGGTCTCAACCTTCTTTGACGATTACAAAAGGGCTTACTTGCATGTGACTGCTGAACTGGAAAACAAAAGTACATGGAATGCTGACTGTTCTGTAAAGATTCAAATAACATCTGAACTCGAAAACGGTTTTTGTTTAGTAGAGCATCTACAGACAGAGAATGTCTTAATACCTGCTCAAGGACGTATTCAGCACACATTTAACCCGGTGAGTGGTCTGCTTGAATAACTTTCCTTTTTAGACCACTAGAATCTATGATGCAACTACAAAACTTCCTCTAATAATGTTTAATTCTATAAGCTAACGAGATAGTGTAATTACCAGCTCTTTTTCTACAAACCTGAACTGTGGTGGCCCAACGGGATGGGAAAGCAAATCCTTTATGACGTCTTGATCACTGTCGTTGTGAAAGAATTTGGGGAATCTGATTCGTGGATGCAGCCATTTGGTTTCCGTAAGATTGAGAGTGATATTGATACTGTCACTGGTGGAAGGTAAAGCTTTATATTTTTTTTCAGTTTCACTTCGAAACAGGTAAAATGTTTCTGTGGAGGCTCTTCATCTTGTTTTTGAAAATTTTCCAGGCTGTTCAAGATCAACGGAGAGCCGATATTCATCCGTGGTGGCAATTGGATTCTATCAGATGGGCTCTTACGCCTCTCTAAAGAACGTTACAGAACGGACATAAAGTTCCATGCAGATATGAACATGAACATGATACGTTGCTGGGGTGGTGGGCTGGCTGAAAGACCAGACTTTTATCACTTTTGTGATATCTATGGTTTGTTGGTATGATTCTACAAGTATTGTTCACTATAATCCTTCTTGAGTTCATTGCCATTTCTGAAGTTTTATCTTGTTTATTCTCAGGTCTGGCAAGAGTTTTGGATCACTGGAGATGTTGATGGAAGAGGTGTTCCAGTATCAAATCCTAACGGACCACTAGACCATGACTTATTCCTTTTATGTGCACGTGATACTGTCAAACTTTTGAGAAACCATCCAAGCCTGGCTCTTTGGGTTGGTGGAAACGAACAAGTTCCACCAAAAGACATAAACGAGGCTCTAAAGCAAGACCTGACGCTTCACCCTTATTTCAAAACCCAATGGCTATCAGACCAGGATTCAGATCCTAGTGTTTTTCTTGATGGTACTAGAGTTTATATCCAAGGATCTATGTGGGACGGCTTTGCAGATGGAAAGGGAAACTTCACTGACGGGCCTTATGAGATTCAATACCCTGAAGATTTCTTTAAAGACACATTTTATAAGTTTGGGTTCAATCCGGAGGTCGGTTCGGTTGGAATGCCAGTTGCGGATACGATAAGAGCAACAATGCCTCAAGAAGGTTGGGAGATTCCTCTGTTCAAGAAGGGTTCAGACGGGTTTGTGGAAGAAGTGCCGAATCGAATGTGGGATTACCACAAGTACATTCCTTATTCTAAGCCTGGAAAAGTTCATGACCAGATTCTTATAAGATTAGCCAACTTTCGTCACCCTAATCATTGAAGGTACATTTTAGTATCTTTTATCCCCTTAACATAGTGTTATTTACTAAGTTCAGTTGAACAAAAAAAAAAAGGTTAGTGATGTATTATGACTTGTTGTTTCTTTCTCTGTAACAGGCTCAATTGGTGAACTACATTCAGTACAGAGCTCTATTCGAGGGCTGGAGTTCGCGAATGTGGACAAAGTACACAGGTGTCTTGATATGGAAGAACCAAAATCCATGGACTGGTCTCAGAGGTCAATTCTACGATCATCTTCTCGACCAAACAGCCAGTTTCTATGGCTGCCGTTCTGCTGCAGAGCCAGTCCACGTCCAATTGAACCTGGCAAGTTACTTCGTTGAGGTCAGTGTGATTCTCCTGTAACTCTATCTATGACAATCGCTGTGACCTGAAGTCTCGAAAGTTATGTAAGTAATACAGAGATCATATACTTTTGACCCCAACAGATTGTAAACACGACTTCTAAAGAAATATCGGACGTGGAGATAGAGGCATCGGTATGGGACCTAGACGGCAACTGCCCATACACCAAAGTGTTCAACAAAGTCTCTGCACCGCCAAAGAAAGTTGTGCAGATATCGGAATTCAAGTACCCGAAATCAGAAAACCCAAAGCCTGTGTATTTCCTTCTTCTCAAACTGTACCATGTCTCAGACAAAACGGTTATATCCCGGAACTTCTACTGGCTACATCTGCCTGGGCAAGATTACACGCTCTTGGAGCCGTTCAGAAAAAAGCAAATACCTCTCAAGATCACTTGCAGTTCAGTTATGGTCGGTCCAAAGTATGAGCTGGAGATCAATGTCCACAATACATCTAGAGCTGGCTTAGCCAAAAACGCTCTTCAAGACGATGGAAAACGCGACCCGGGTTTGCTCCAGAAGCTCTTTACTAGATGTGTAGTTTCTGCAGATAGCAACCGCGGTTTGAAAGTGGTGGAAATGGAGGGATCTGATCTAGGGGTTGCTTTCTTCCTCCGTTTCTCAGTCCATAATGCAGAGACGGAGAAACAAGACACGAGGATTCTGCCTGTACACTACTCAGACAACTATTTCTCACTAGTTCCAGGTGAATCAATGTCATTTAAGATCTCATTTGCAGTTCCTAAAGGCATGAAGAAGTCTCCTCGTGTTATGCTTAGAGGATGGAACTACCCTGATGGGTTTACTGTTTTCGGTTAAGACAAGTTACGTTTCGTGTTTACTTAGTAATATAATTACATACTGCGTGCGAACTCAAACCTTTCAATATAAATGAAACATGCACAGGGTTTTCACTTAAATATGCAACCAACACTCCTCACGTTACAGATATCTAATACATTCAAATCAGAATCATATATTCAGCCCAATTCTCGTGTCTACTTCTCGTCGCCACAAAATAAGAGTTACATATATATACTAGTTGAGCAATGAAAAATCAGAAGCCGAGGATCAAGACCATCTCTACCTGCTACTGTCCAGTCTTGCCCGTAGATATAGTCTGAGCAACGAAAGGATATTTTTGTGCATGTCATTTTCCTGGAGATGCAAACCTTGATTTCTCTCTCTGTCGGCTCAAGCTTCTGTCTCTTGGGGATGATCCCAACCCTGCTTGGCGCATGATCTCTGTAACAACATATACTCCCAAGTCATCAAGTTGATTTACCAAGCTTACAAAACACTGATGACATGAGAGTATCTATAAAGATAGCTACCGTGTTATCGTAAGATAGTCTAGATTATTAATCAAGAGAAGAACTTAGAAAGCGTTGTTATGCAAGATCTGACATCAAAGAAAATACGACAAAGCGTGCAGAGTGCCAATCATGAACCCTCACAAAAGGGATTTACCTTGTCGTTTTCTTTCCAGTTCTTGATCAAGCTCTTCTTTCCACTTCTTCTCTATCTCTGACAAAGCCACACTGCAAAGCCAAAACCAGTCAATTCCAGTAGATGATGGAAATGAATCGACAACCCTAGGCTAAGGGAAAAAATTGGCCAATGGCCAGCGCTGAATTAGCTTTAGCGCGACTAACCTCTGACTGCTTGAGTCCTGTACAGTATCAACGATAAGACCCCTCCAGTCAGTGACCCGAGCTAATACTCCATCCTGTGAAGCCTCATCACCTCCATTGTTCATATTCAATTCACGACTACTACCACTTCCTGGGCTCTTCGAACAACTAACTGTGTCTGTTGCTCTAGAAGGTGAGCCACCATGAGGACCTCGACTAGGTGACCTGCTTTTTGGAGGCAATTTCAGGAAACCGCGAGTAGTTTCCTCTCTTTTACTGTTACTTAAATTACTCTCAATACAACTGGGAGAGCATGTGATCATGCTTTTATAGTATTCTTCATATAGAGGCGTCTGTAACTTCTTTAGGTCCGCAGCCTAAGATTAATATATTCATTACCATGTTAGTGATTGACAGAAAGTAAATATAAATGCAGTGAGGAAAATGATAATTGTAGTATAATGTGCATGAAGCACCTTCTCGTCTAAGAAAGCTTTTATTTTTGACTCGGTCAACTCGTCATCATCCTCTGAGTATGAAGGCTGGTCACCTTCCATGCTCATTGTAGTCCCTTTCACTCCATTACCAGGACTTTCATCAAATTTGGATTTCAAAGCATTGGACATATCAGTGGCATCACAGCTCTGTCAACATAGATTATATAAACGATGCTTACAGAACAGATTGAAACTCAATTTAAACAAGAGTTGAGACTTGAATCGGTAATTGGAAATCAAGATGAGAAATATGAATCATATGTATGCTTACTTTCTTCAGATCAATATTGTTTTCAAGCGTAGGCCTTGTCTCTCCGTCAAATGTCAAGAAACTATCATCATCCATCAAACACATGTCGTCTTCATCACCCCCAGTATCACTTTGTTGCCAGAAATTACTGTTTTGGATTGATTTCACAGGATATGCAAGTGAATAATTCAGGCTGCCCAAGTTACACATGTCTCCTACGTCGTTGCATGTAGAATCTGGACTGAAAAAAGAAGCAGAAAATATATACTCTAAATCTTTTAGAACACCCAAAATTGATTTTAATACTTTTGGTTTCAGCCAGATTTTCGGAACTTACGAGCTCTTAGTGTTAGTTAACTGTGACGGTGGAGTACTAGCCTTGTTCTGGAAAATAACAAAAAAGATCCTATTAAGATGGCTTCAAAAACAACTTATATGATATTCATAAGATGGCCAACATGCACCCACCATGACAGAACCAAGATCTGTAGAAGCAGATTCTTTGTGTTTTCCCGTAACAAAAGGATGCTGCAAATAGAACAAAATCAAGAAGGCTTTTACTCAGGAAAAAAAAACTAATTTGAGATTGAGGTGCTTTATGGTTCACCTTTAACAGCTCAGATGCGGTTGGCCGCAGATTTGGTTCCCTACCAAGACGAATCAATGATTCAGAAATCCCAAAGACAATGCAGAATAGTATTGATGGAATTTAATTTTGAATTCTACTTTTAATGTCTCTGGAGCAAAGTAGCTTACTCCTGCAGACACTTGAGCAGAAAATCTTTTGCATCAGAGGTGAGGGTATCAGGTATTGGAGGATGTGATTTTGTTGTTCCAATGAAGAAGATAGCAGCAACCTGAAAAGAAAGTATGTCCACCTTTAATCAAGATGCAAAATTCTTTAAAAAATTCTAACCAGGAATAAAATACCTCTTTATATTGCTGACTCCAAGGAGCCTTTCCAGTCACCATTTCAATAACTGTACAGCCCACGCTCCATATATCGGCAGAGCTGAAAATAAAATCCACAGGTTTGTGAGAAATCAAAAATATGGAGCCGATGACACCAGAAGTACAAATAATAGCCACAGATGTATGAGATATCAGTTACAAAACATGTAATTTCTTATTTACGAGCACGCTTGAGTGCTTACAAGCTATGTCCAGTTTGAAGAATAACTTCCGGAGCCATCCAATAGGGTGTCCCTTTCATAGATTTTGCACCAGAAATCGTAGCCTAGAGATGAAATTATGTCAATCACATTGAATCAGTGTGAAGAATATGTTATATAAGGCCAACTAAGAAAATAAGAGTAGACAGAACAGAACGCTTCCTGCAATATAAGTTAAAAAAAAAACAAAATAATTAACTTACCAACTCAGCTACTTGTTTGGATGCACCAAAATCAGCAAGTTTAATGCATCCTTTGTTATCCACAAGGATATTGGCCCCCTGATAACAGAGGAATATAGAATATCATGTGCAAGGACTCAAGATTGTAAGAAATTTCACAGTATGGGGAAAAAATGTTACCTTAATGTCTCTGTGCATAATTGCATGATTGTGAAGGTATTCCAACCCAAAAAGCAGCTGCTTTGTGTATGTCCGTACAACCTATATCAATCACTCTTCAACACTTAAGCACGGCAAACATATAGATCGAAGAAATAATTACAAGCATGACTTACTGATTCAGGAAAAGGTCCGAATTTCTCCAAGAGCGATGATATAGATCCACCGGGAACAAACTCAAGAAGTATATTAAGGGTGTCATCTTCTCTCACTGTGCCCAAATACCTCTAAGGCCAAGAAAAGAACACCTGAGTTAGACAACACGAGGAAAAGCTGGACACATTTGCATTGAGAGGAAGAGGATAGCCACGGTTACTTACAACTATATTTGGATGGGAGAGATTCTTGAGAAGCTTAACTTCTTCCTCGAGCTCCTGAATATGAGCCTTCATAGCACCAATACAGAAAAATAAAGTCAAGAACAACACGATTGGAAGATAATTACTGGAAGGTGAAAAGGAAAACTCAATGAAAGTACATATGAACCTGGGTTTTTTCCTTGGAAGCACAATTAGCTGCAATCAGAACCTGAATATAAACAATTGAAAAAAATAGCAACAAAATCAGATAAAATCCATGAGAAAAAATGTCCAGTTAGTGATACACAGCTTCTTAAGTTCATTTCACTACAAATTTAGAAGTTAGAACAGATGCAGTTGGTGCGAAGGTTTTTCATTAAAGTTGCTCACAAATCCAATTTCTGAGGAATCAAACAAAAATTAGCAGCGAGACGATTACGCTTTCAAATTAAGCCCCAATTAGCTTCAAATCCACAACTCCCGAAACCAGAAAACCAAAACCCTAGAGTACCTGTTTTACGGCGAGAAGCTCCCCGGAATCAAGATTCATACCCATGTAAACTGTACCGAACGCGCCGCGACCAATTAACTGACCTTTCCTCCACGAAATCGGAGGTGCCATATCTACGGTGGTAGTAGGAGGAGGCGAGAAGAACGAGGAGGAGGGTTTGATAAGAGCCCTCGATTTGCGGATGCAAGAAGTGATCTTATCGGCGAGAACACCGGGAAACGGAGGCTGGTTCTCCTGGTTATCTTCGTCGGCGGTAGGACGGAAAACAAGCGATCGACGAACCGAACCGAAGAAATCTTGCATTTGAACGATTGAAGAAGACGGATTTCACTGTGACTCGACTCTTTGTTTCATCGGTCGGCAAATGTATTAACGAGTGTGAGAGGGAAAAGGGCTTCCCAAATATACTTTTGAAATTAAATAAATAGAAATTACTTCAAAGTTTGGGCTGAAACTTGTAGACTAATAATTGTCAAAGTTTTTTTTTTTTTTCAAAGCGTCTAACACTGGTCAAGGCTCTTTGTCCAAATAATACAATAATATACATTAAGAAAAGAAAAAAAACATTTTTGTGTGTATATATATTCCGTATCAATGGTTACATTGAATTCCAAAACGCTCTCAGTGACCTAATTAAGAATATTCTTCTTCCTTGGATCTTTTACTTGAATTCTCCAATGCCTTTCAGGAAAACCATTGAGCTTAGCGATTTTCCTCCACCTCTCAATGTTCTTCTCCATTTTACGGTTCAAACCACAATAATCTTTCAACTTCTTCGGCATCTTGTCGTAGACTTTCCACCATCTCTCATTGACCGACTCGCTTGCAAACACACGCCTCGTTTTCAAGTCCCAGTTACAGTCGTAGTCTCTGTAACATAGCCATGGTTTTAGCCCCAAGTAGTGTATCCCCTCCAAATTTTCCGGAAGATGTCGTGTTTTGTCGCTGTTGGTTTCAGCACCAAAGTACTTCATCGTGTTCACGTGTTTCGATAATCTATGCCACCACACAAAGTACTCGTTCAGAAATCCCTGGTCTCCCCCGTTGTAAGACTCGATCTTGAATGATTTCAGCATCATATCTTCGAACAGACAAGATGATGGCTCAAGAACCTGAAGAAAACATAAACTAAAGGTTATCGTTTACATTGTTTTAGACCACAATAATATATCATTCTGGTTTTGAAAGCATTGACACAAAGGAAGCGGGTTTGTTTTTGAGACAATCATAAAAATTGTCTTCAATATTTAAAAATGGAAAAGGTATAAATTTAAATCTTAATCTTACAAAATAGCTCTTAAATAAAAACTAAACCATAAACCCGATTTTCATGAATTCTAACTTCAATTCTTAGTGGTAAAATCGAAACAAATTAAAATCGTCTATATCACGATTCAAAATATTTTGTTTATTTATATTTCTTTTCTTAACGAATTTCTCACTGGTATCATATAAATGCGTGATTGTTATTGCATCCAACCACACTTTGAACGGATAAATTTCTCTATCAGGGTGTTTTTTGCAAGCTAATCTCTAGAAATCTGAATCTGAGGATTTATTTATAACATTTCCGGATATCCCTAAATTTTAACAGCAAGAATCTAACCTTAATCGGATTTAAACAACGGATTATGTGTAAAATTAAAGAAATTAAGGTTTAGTTGCATTACCATGACTCCGGAGTTGAACAAGACTTTATTGTTGCCAGCGGCCGAAAGTTGAGGATAGAAGAAAAGATAATCAATATTCTTGGCGATGATGAAGTCTGCGTCTATGAACACTAGTTTATCGTAATCGGTTACTTGCCACACACGTAGCTTACTGTAGTTCCACTCGTTGTACGAACCTTTCTGGGAAAAAGGGCTACGGATTCTCTCTACTCGCCGTAGTTTCCATCCGGCGAGGCTTAGGCCAATGCGAGATGTGTTGGTTACGGAGTCGTCGTGGAGGAGTATCATGTCATGCGTCGAGCCAGATTGTCTAATGCTTTGTGCTAAGGCTATTGCCCCGCATACGTAGACCTCCGATGAGTGGAGTAACGTTACGTAAGCAACACGTTGTGCGCCGAATGATGTGAGACTTTCGTTCTTGTGTTGCCTCCATGCTTCTTGATCTTTACCAGGTAATAATACTTATTAGGGTAATGTATGATATATTTAGATGAAAAGCAAATACAGTAAGTACTAAAAGTAAGAGAGGAAGATTTGGTGATTTAGTAGGGTTATGTGATCAGCTTTTATAACAGAATGGACTTGTACATCTTTTTTCTCATTCTACACTTTAGCCACCTAAGATGTATATATATAGACATGATATTAATTAATTAGAATAATATTTGTTGAAAGAATCATATCGTTATATATACGTACTATTTTTAGTCTACTACTAGCTATAATATCAATGTTAAGGTTACAATAACAAAAACTGTAAACTATACTGAATATACAAACAGATTATAATGCTATATTAGAAAACTTTTTATGATGGATTTTCAAGTTAAAATATATAATAAAAAGTCAGTTGGATCAGAGGAGATTTACCTAGTTGAGCAACCGGCGGTGCAATCTGACAAGAACCAACAGGCATGAGAAGCTTTTGCTTCAACTTCTCTAGATTAGGCCTATACACCCAATATTCCCCCACGCGCCTCACGCGCTCATCACACCGAAAAACCTCATGCATGGGCCCACACGACCCGATGAAGACAACGTAAACCGTCCGATCAACGTTCCTTCGCCCGCTCTCCACCGCCAGATTCGCTGCCGCCAGATTAACCTGTAGCCGGAAAACGTCTCTCAACCCTTTACTCTCCGAAAACCCATCGCACGGCATTTTCACAACGACCACGTCCACGTCAGCATCGGTACCTTCCATACGAGGGAGAGGGACCTCTGGACACTTTGGCGTGTGCCACGTATGATCCTCGTCGATCCACACCGGGAATAAACTCTTCCACGTCAGATCTTTTGGAAGTGGATCAAGTATCACGTGGACATTCTTAAGGATCGATGGTCCGATTGCCTCGTAGCTCTCTAGCTCGTTTTCGGCGATGTTGAGGAGACCCACTCGGATCTTTCTATCTGGAAGATGCTTCCTGATGAGCCGGAGCCATCTCGGGTTCCGGTTAAGTACTGGCGCCGGCGAAGTATAACGAATCTCTATTATCGAAGGAGAACTGATCATGGGGTTGAGTAGCACCAGAGGTTTAAACATTAAGACCAAACCCAAAAACGAAAATGTCATTAGGATCAGATAAAATATAAATATTTTCCTCGTCGAACTATTGTTCTTTGCTCCCATTTTTCTATCAGCTCTCGATCTCTCTCTGAGTCTGTACACAAGTAAAGCGTATGTACATTGATAATCTCATATTCTCATTGATAAATACACGTATCAATGTCGGACGGAATTCATGGGTGAGAGATTGGGAGCAGAAGTGTTGAGGTGCATGGACGCACGTTGATGTAGAAGTCAATTGGTTAGGTGAGTCTACGAATGTAATTAACTTCCATGCATAAGTTTGGCGCGTGTGTTATAATTTATGAGATGTTTTTTAGCAGAAAGTGTTTTTTTTTTCTTTCTTAAGTCGCGCGTTGTTATATTTTATGCTTTAATATAACTCTAGTTTTGCTAGGTTCGTGTACATGTCGTAATTTGTCGTTAAGTAGTAGACCGAATCATAAAAAATCCCATTTTAAATGATTTATTGTTGATCGGTTAATAAATCTAAATCAATCCCTATTCCTTGCTAATTAGGAAACGGGTCACTTACCCATATCAATTAAATTTAGTAAGATAATCAATTAGCTAAGATATATATAAATTGATTGCTAAAAGTATAAAGACGAGTTCAATTGTCCCACATGTAAATAGTTAGTTACAACTTGTTTGCAATAACGTACTTAGCCATGAATTTGGAAAGGGAATCCACAAGACTCAGAAGAAAACCGTCTGAGCCATGCTTAGCTACCAAGGATACCGATACCGGAAGATTTTCGTGTAGCCCTAATGGTATGCTCACCTGTCAGTGAAAAATCAGACGATCAGACCGGTTCTCAACCGACTCCACAAGAAATTAAAGACATAAATTGGCGTTGTTATTACCTGACAGAATCCAGAAACGCCTGCGATCGACAACAAGCTAAAGGCTCGGCTGCGGAAAGATTCGAGTGCAGCCACGTCAGCTTTGAGATGCGGTGGAGGACCTGGCACCGTCGGAATTACCAACACACCCTTGTCCTACAAAGGCATGTAGACACATTCAGTCATTCAGATGAATGAATACAGCTTGGTATGATTCACATTAAACCGGTCTCCTCCAGGTAAGTGATTTTTTAAAGAGGTGTAGAGTCCGGTCGAACCAATCTGAACCCAAACCACACCGAGAAATAAACTGAGCTGATAGTAAAATAAACCGTAAATCCGAAACAAACCGATAAGCAAATAAACCCATTAAAACCTTACATATATTATTGAATTACCTTCAAATATTCTACAAAACCAAATTAAATCGATCAGCATGGTATACAGTTTCTATTCGGTTTCCATTATCACATAAACCAAACCGAAAACCAGAATGGACACTCCCTACTTTCAATCATTGGCAAACCTAAATTTTGTTATAGTTTCTAGTTTTGGGTGAAATAGGAAGAAGATTGTACCCCAAGCAAAGTTGAAAGAGCCGTTGAAAGTTCGGATTTCACAGACCGGCAATGGTCGACCTTCTCATCGGATGTCCTGATAGCTTCCTCAATCCGTGCTGATATTCCGGGACCAAACTCTGGCTTCACCGATGAGACCCATTCACCGTGGTTCATCTTGAATTCATACCTAAACTTTGGTTATTTATATCTACATACTATTAGTCTGTTACAAATCGATTTTGGCATAGATGAGAAAGATACCTCTGTAACAATCTCATTGAACTCGATAGAGCCATGAGAGATGGAATGCAGAAATCTTGTTGTGTCGTGACATCGTCACCTGTCATGAAATGCTTCAGGCTTGGAACATTCTCTTGGATGTATTCTCCAAGATTCACGTTCTCCGTTACAGTATTGCCTTGACACGGAACAGAATTATTAAGGAACATTGTCTCCATATAGGGAATTAACTCTAGACTTCCCTTTGAACAAGTTCTTATGTTGCTTCTTACCTCCAAAGGATTTTTCCACAGATAGAACCAGTGGCTGCACCAACAGATCACGTGGTGCACTACACAGCTTGAAGCAGTCATCAGCAATTATCAATTGAGTTGGCTCAATGTGGTTCAAGTGAGGCTGCTGCTGCAGGAGAACGCAGCCTACGCGTTTCAAAGTGGCTGTGTCCCGGGCAAACCATCCTAGAGACAATGTTTGAACCATCAATATCAAGATTTGGTTTTTTAACCAAACACATGTCGATATCGGTTTTTTTGCTGTCTTTACCAACTGTGTCGAAGCTCTGAGCCATTGGAGTAACTCCGGCAGTGGAAACAACTCCGTGCGATGGCCGGAAACCGAAAATACCACAGTAAGACGCCGGAACTCGTACACTCCCTCCGGTATCAGTTCCTGCTTGATAACAAAAACAGAGCATTTAGAATTTAATTTAGACAGAAATGAACAAACAAAAAGAAAAGGCAAATTTATCTACAAGCATGATCAGTACATACATATATATTTCTACAACTCACCAATAGAAAAATCCACAAGAGCAGCAGCTACAGCTACAGCAGAACCACTTGAAGATCCACCAGGCACTCTATCGAAAGCAATTGGGTTTATAGGAGTCCCGTAGTGTGCATTTTCTCCGTTTATGCTGCAACCAAACCAAAAAAAAAACCACAGTTGATTGTTGGTTTTATACAACGGTTTGAATTACAATAACAGCAAGACCTGTTGTTACCTGTATGCCATTTCGTCCATAATGGTTATACCCAAAGAGGTAGCTCCAGCTTCTAAGAGAGATGAAACTGCGGGAGCTGTGGAAGTAGCTGCCGAGTGTGTCCTTAACCAATCTGGGTTACCAAAACCGGTTATGCGTCCTTCCACATCAAATCTGATTAAACCAAAACAAGCTCAACGATTTGCAGTGACTCAAATTTATTTGGTAGAGAAAGTATTTATATGGAGATATCGTACATGTCTTTAATGGCGAAAGTAAGACCCTTTAGAGAATGAGACGAGTAAGAAGGCGTTGGAGAGATTGTAGATTTCTCGATGAAAGCTCCAAAATCATTGTTCATCGCCATTGCCGCAGCTTCTGATGTCGGTCGTATTGACAAGGTAAAATGATGACCAACCAAGTAAGCCTGTTGTAGATAAACGTATAAAAAATATCAACCCGGATAAAATAGCCGAGTCATATCCTCTTTTTGTCTTTTTTATTTAATTTTTTTTCACTATGTTTTTATGCCCTGATCAGTGATCATTGGCAAAAACCGCCTTAGCTAAACTCTGCTCTTTTCTTATGTCATGTTTTTGCCATTTACTTTCCAAGAATCTGTTTCGGATGATCACAGCTCAAAATTGTCTCAAGTATCCAATGGTTTCGATGAAATGTTCCAAAAAGAAACAACTTTTGGTGGTTTCTATTTGATGTGATGAGTCACGATAGAGAAAAGACAATAAACATTCAAATAAAAACCTTGTCAAGCACACCTGTTCCTTACATTTTGTTTATACATTCTTCATGTTCATCCCTAAATTTATCCTTTAAAGAAAGGATCGAATAGACATAAACACTCAACATTCTTCCTACAACACGGATATGAAAATCTGATATGTTCTTTTCCTTTTCTTCTCTAAAGTCTCCTCCTTTCTGACTAGAAACTCTGCCAAAACAAAAACAAAAACGAATCACACTTCACTTCAATCAAACTAAACAGAAACACAAAACTTTTAAATGGTTAAAAAAAGGACTCACAGTTTCTTAGCCAAAGCTAATTTTCCGAGTCAGGTTGGTCAGGTCCCTGCTGCTGCCACATGGGTTGACCCATGTAAGGATTAGGCGGGTATGCACCACCACCACCCGGGTTACCCATAACCATTCCCGGGTTACCTATAGGAGCTGTTCCTGGAGGCAAGTATCCATACGGGTAACCAGCAGCAGCAGCAGCCTCCGGGACAGTCCCTCTCGGAATACTTCCCAAGACCTCGTCTCGAAGATCCTCTCGTGGAACAATGTCCACAAGAAAATCAAAGATATCGGTTCTAGTAACCGCAGCAGCTATATCGTTCTTCTGCAGCGTCCTCCTCTTGTTCTCCTCCGTGTGGTTCCACGACCTTAGTGTCAGCTCCAGTATGAACATCTCACAGGCCCTTGCAAACACAACAGGCGCCTCTGCAGAGATCATACGGACGTCTTCATCTGCTTTCATGATCTTCTTGATCCTCGCGAGAGGAAGACTGTGGTTCTTGAAATCGGTTGTTTTCTCGATCTCTTTGAATTGATTCTCCCAGAATGCTTGAAGCTGCTGTGCCAGCTGTTGCTGCTGCTGCTGCTGATGGATCTGGTGGAACGCTAGCTGGCCTGGTGGTGCCGCTGGGCCCACACTCCCGGCTACGGTGGTGGTCATCGGGTTGGTTTGGTATGGGTTTGTGCCGTAGTTCACGGCTCCGGACTGTCCATGCTCTTGCTGATCCATTCTCTACCAGAATAAAGACAAAAGATTTGGGATTGTTTCAATAAACATCTGACCAAGAATTTCAAGAAGAAATCTCAGGGAGATAAGGTTGCCAACAATTATCAAAGATGGGAAACAAGAAATCACTGGAACTTAATTTATATATATGGTTTGATAAATATTTTCTAAATTAGCCAAGAAGATCTAAGCAGCAAGAAGTGTGAAAATTGAGCTTATATCAATTAACAGAAAGTACATCAATCTACTACTTATTAGGACCCCAAAAAAGTTTAACTTCCTGTAAAATAGACAGAGCAAAGGATCTTCTCATCTTCTAACCCCAGAACAAGTAGAAACGTTCATACAACACCATGTCTATCGATTAATCATGTGGATTCACCATTAGTTTCCCCACAAGGCCACAAACAAATATATGTACGAACAGGTCAATAAAAGAAAGAAAAAAAAAGCTACAAATGAAAAGTGACCTTTGAGTTGGTTTTGCAAGAAGAATCTGAAGTTGATGTGGAAGAAGAGTTGGATTTGAGGAAGACAGTAGTTGATCCTCTTGGTGGGAAGAGAGTTTTAAAGATCTGGTTTTATCTTAATTTGGTGTGATTTATTAGGGTTTTTGCTTTTCCCCTTTGTCGACTTTAACAATGAGGAAATAGAAGACAAAGGGAGTCAGTGGAAGCTTTTAAAGATGGGTATCGTGTCAAACGCTGGGCTTATGTCAAGATTCCTCTACTGTTGTCAGATATGATGGCATTGCTTTACGATTAAATTATTATTTCTTTCACTCAATTAAGTAGTACTTAATCTGTAATAAAGAAGACTAGAAAAATAGATAACCTCTTTTTTTTGCAAGAAAAAAATAGGAAATAGCCAAAAAAAAAAAGTCCGAAAATGTTCTGGGTTGTTAATAGCCACTTACACAAATAATTGGTTTTCTTAACACAAGTTCAGAAATCGTCAAAGTATGATTAGCGTCGAGTGCCCCTTTATGCCAAAATCTGGATTACTGAAAATGAAATATACGGAGATGAATTAGTCTTAAAAAAATCTAGCTTTTTGGATTATGATTTATGAATAAAACTGCAATCTCATATTTTTTCAAGTATCATTAGTCAGGTCTTATGGTAGTAAGTTCGAACCAGAATCAACTAATTGCTCTGCTCTAATACTACATTTTAGAATCGAGAGAAAACCGGAGAATCGTGAACGCAAACTATTTCTCATTAATTATCAAAAGAATACAAATGTGTGTGGTTTATACATATACCATTCAGGTAAAGCAAACCAGTATAATCAGTAGAAACGGAAACCGGTCTGAAACCAGGAATCCAAAATCTTCTCCCAAAAAAATCTGCATAGCTTCTCTGCTCTTGCTCTTCACATGTATACTTTACCATCCTGCACCTATCTACCAAACTTTCCTAATCTGCCTCACAGACGATCACAAGAACTTCCTATGAGATTCTGAGATTACCTGTGGCCATTTTTGCCAACCTCAGAAATTTTGCCAATTCTCTTCGAATTCTGGTCTTCACCCAAGATTTTCAACGCGCAAACTTCAAACATATATGATCAGGTTGAAAATTTGGCGATGATAAGACTAACAAACGTGAAAACAACATAGAGTCCAACAAGACAGATCCCCCAGAACCTCGGAACTCGGAATCTAGACCAGGTTATAACCAAGAGAGATCCCATTAAACTAAGCAACAAGAAGACGAAAGCGATCACAATACCTACATGGAATCCAAGTTCGTAAGCGTTTGGATATACATTAGCTGTTTGCATCACCAAGGCCGTTCCAAGTCCAACAAGCATATTAAACATTGGACCCGCAAAGCAACCAGCCATGGCCATTGCTGGTCGACCCGCCTTTGCAACTGCCACGTCAGCAACAAGGTCACCAACCGAGTTTCCCCAAGCAAGAACGGTTAGGCCAAGGAGCGCCGGAGGCAATTTCAGGAGCGTTCCAAGTGCGGCCAAGCAGTTAAGGAGCTCACCAGCAATTGTTGATATCCAGAAAACACTCATTATGAAAGCTACAACGATGACTGGCATTTGCTCGGTTTTTGGAGGCTGTTTCTCGACTGTGAAGTGAAGGAAAGCAAGGGAAGACGTCATGAAGAAGACGACAAGCCAAAGTGGGAGATGGGTGTTTGGAAAGAGGAATGAAATCGGGTGGTTTAGAGGTACAAAGGAGTTGCAAGTGTACAAAAGGGCAAGAGGGCAGAAAACAATGTTGGCAGATCGGTAAAACCGAGACCATTCAGAAGGAGAAGTTTTTGGGATTGTAAGCATCAAAAGAATTGATACAGGAGCTTCCCACATCCTCGAGATCTGCAACCACAGCAACGAAAGCAAGATCAGACAAACCACATTCTAGAGAGACTTCACTTGATTAACGATTCTCAAACAATTCCCAGTTCCAACGCTACGAAAAACCAGAATACACCAAACTCATTTGGCCCAGCTTCTTTTTAACATGTTAGCTCTCTATTTAGCTAACCTATTCAATGATTGTTCCTGTGGCTGTCAACACATCTACAATGCAATTGAAACCGCCTAAGCTACTTACAAAGCTCATTCACTAGACTAACAAAAAGAATTATCATAACGTCGAAGCCTTTAAACACATAACTACATTCAGCATTTCACCGTTGGTGCAGAAGAAGATGCTAAATCCAGCATTCTCGTCTATAAATGAAGCTCAGAGATGAGTGAAGAAGACTTTTACCGTCCCATAAAGCCGAAAAATCCCGGAAAATCGATGTTCTTTCTCTGCTTTATAGCTCTCGGGAGGACCTGCAATCTCGCAATCGTTAACTCTCAACAAGTCCTTCTCTTCCTCACTGATGACTTTCCCTTTTTCAACGTTGGTACCAAAATCCATCCAGAAGACGAAGCCGACGAAGAAAATGTAAAACCCCACGAACCCAATTGCTTGCCACACGAATATCTCGCCACTCAAGTACACATAGAACAAGAAGGAAGCAGCTATCAGGTAGAAAAGCACATCCCTGACGAAGGACGCGGCGTCCACCGGAAACGGCGCGGCGTAGATGGCGACAAACCCGACGACAAAGGCCGAGACAAAGGTTCCGGCGGATAAGATTGCTCCGAATCCGGTTCGGTACTGACCACCACGCAAGGCGGCGACGGAGGCAAATACGTCCGGTGCGCCGTTACCTAAGGCCAAGAGAGTCACAGCCGCCATGCTGGGAGAGAGATTGAGGCGATCGGCGAGCTTGGTCGTGACGGTGGAGAAGTGGGTCTGTGCGGTTTTGATGAGTATGTAGAAGTGTAGAAGAATGAGGAGCGACAAGACTGGGATCGAGAGGAATAGGTTTTCGTTGAAGATGCAGGAATGGAGGGAGAAATAGTTGATGACGCCATCATCGTGGGATCTCGCGGAGAGACAAGAGGATTCGGAATTAGCGCTCGAGCTCTGATTCACAGTGGATGTGACGTTGGAGTCGTCGAGAAGAGAGCGATTCGGAGTAATAGGGGAGCTTGAAGGGTGATCCGGGAAACTGGGAATGGTTGTAGTGAGGAAGAAGAAGAGGAGAATGGAGATTAGGGTTAAACACAGAGCTGAGTTTCCAATGGTTGAAGAAGAAATCAATTCCATGCCATTCAGGTTGCAATCCAAGACAGACGAAGTTTGAAATCGGGACACTACAGTCGATTGGGAGATATTGCCACTGGTTTTGCTACTTTTTTTAGGCAATGATTCGATTGATTTTCGATGAGATCTGATTGCTCAATAAAGTTAGCTTTTTTTTCCCTTGCATCTGAATAACATAAAGTTGATTAGCAATATTCTCCATTGACAAAATATAATTAAAAAAATAGACTCCATTTTGCTTTTTATTTCTTCGTAATCAGGCGTTGAATAACAATTTCATAGACTACGTCATTTTCTTTTTACTATTCGTTTGTCTTTTTTTTTTGAACAAGCTATTTATTTGTTTATCTGAAGTTGAACTAAAAAATATAACCAAGAGGGGCATTCCGAGAATTGAACTCGGGACCTCTCGCACCCTAAGCGAGAATCATACCACTAGACCAAATGCCCAACCGACGGACGTGATTGTCTTGGCTTATTTATTTCTTCCTTTGGGACCACCTACTTAAACTTATCTGCCTGGCTTTGCTATAAGCTATAAGAGCATGTGTATTAGAGTGTTAGAAAGTTGCTTAGCATTAATATAATAGTTTTTTTTGGTTTAAGGATAATTAAGCAACTTTTATCATCAAGTGTTGCATTAGTGGGTTGGATAAGAGTTGCTTAATATTAAAAAAATTAATTTTTATTTAAAAAAAAATTATTAATTTAATCTTTAATTTAAACATTCATTACATATTAAACAAGATTATAGAACAATACATGAAATTATTAAAATTCAAAATACAGATATTTAAATTGTAAAAGTTGTAATTTTACTCTTGAGAATTGCCAAATTTGTTCCATATATTTTCAACTAAGTCTTTCTTCAAGCGTTCATGTATTTGTGGATCACGGATTTGATTTCTTATCCCGATAAGGTTTCCGATGTTTGACGATGTCTCTGTAGAGTAGTCATTGTCTACTTGCGAAGTTCTGCTTGACTCCCCTGGTTGGAATTCTTCTATGTTATACTGAGTGTACTCATTCCGTTCATTTTCTACTATCATATTATGCAATATGATAGATGCACACATAATATTGCCAATCTTTTCCTTATCCCAGAAAAGTGCTGGATTTCTTACAATTGCAATACGAGCTTGTAGAACTCCAAAAGCACGCTCGACATCTTTTAGGGCAGATTCTTGGGTAGTGGCAAATAATGATGCTTTATCATCTTGAGGCAATGGAATAGTTGGTATAAAAGCTGCCCATTTGGGATAAATACCGTCGGTGAGGTAGTATCTCATCTTATACTTGTGTCCGTTAACCCAGTATTGAACTTTAGGAGCTCGACCTTGTAAAATATCATCAAATACAGGTGAACGTTCAAGTACGTTAATATCGTTTAGGGTATCTGGAGGTCCAAAAAGTGCGTGCCATATCCAAAGATCTTGTGATGCTACCGCCTCTAAGACAATTGTCGGTTTTCCAGAACCACGTGTATATTGCCCTTTCCAAGCGGTAGGGCAATTTTTCCACTCCCAATGCATGCAATCTATGCTTCCCATCATCCCGGGAAATCCCCGTCTCTCTCCATCGTTGAGTAATCGTTGAAGATCTGCGGGCGTGGGTCTTCTTAGGTACTCATCTCCGAACAATTGAATTATTCCTTCAGTGAAATTTTTCAAGCATAACAATGCCGCACTTGCACCTAGACGGAGATATTCATCAACCGCATCAGCCGGACAACCATATGCCATCATACGAATTGCTGTCGTACATTTTTGTAGTCCGGATAGACCAAACCTTCCATGAGCGTTTCTTCTTTGTTGAAAGTACGGAACTTCATATGACAGGCGATCGACAATGTGCATGAACAATTTCTTGTTCATTCGAAAACGACGTCGAAAAACATGTGGCTACCCCTGTGAGCTACCGTTTGGGTTCATAGCATCCATGGTGATCGGTTTTAAGAAGTTTAGAAGTTTAGAAGAGAAGAGTGATTGTGAAAGATTTAGAAGAGCTCGGGTTTGTGAGTTTAGAAGAGAAAAGTGATTGTGAAAGAGTAAGAAGAGTTCGGGTTTGTGAGTTTAGAAGAGAAGAGTGAAAGAGTTAGTGTTTTAGCGAGTTATTTATTAGAGAGAGTTGTGAAAGTTTTCTGAGAGTTTGGTAGGTTTAATAACCAGCTTTAATGTTTAGCTACTAGTTGTTATCTTAGTATTTAAGTATGTTGATGTTTGATGTGATTTTGAGACAGCTTTTAAAGCACTAAATGGTTCTTTTAAACAAGCACCATCTATTACCAAACCATAACTCTTCACCTAACAAACAACTACCACCATTTACAATCAATTCTAACTAAGCGATCATATCCAATAAAAGCAACTATCAACCCTAAACAAGATGCTAACTACAACTTTGTTGGTTTGAAGAATACTTACTTTGGGCTGAGTTTAGAAGGAAGTTTGTTGATCATCAAGATTCCCTAGTGCTCTCTCTCTCAATTTACCCTCGCAAAAAAATTCACAACAACATTTTCATCATCAACTTTAACTTCATCATCAATATAACATGATATATATGCATACACTAAGCAAGAACTATCACATACAGCTAAACCCGATCATAAACATAACAAACAAACTAAACCCAACTCAAAATTATCTTCACCGATTACAAACAACCATTCATATACGTCAACTTCAACTTCATCATCAATATAGCATAATATATATGCATACACTAAACAAAACCTATCATATACATCACCAACCCATCATAAACATCATTAACAAAAGAATTACAACTCAAACAAACTTCACGATTACAAAGAACCGATCTAAACCTCAATACACAAAATACAGTCTATATATCCATGTAAATGCTTTCAAACTATTCTATTCACGAGTATTATTCAGATAGATTAGCCACAGTTCATTGAACACAAAAAGCCCCAAATTTTATTTATGTTCGAAACCCTAATTTCAGAAAAACACAACAACTGAAACCCTAAATACAACCAAACCCTCAAAAAAGACGTACCTTCACGATTCGATGGCCCAAGCCGCTGGAAAACCGCCGAAATCGTCATCGATTTGCTCCGTCGGTGAAATCGCATCCGGTCGCCTCCAAAATCGTCTAGGGAGAGACCTCTCGATTTTTTTTTCCAGAAATGAGAATTTCTGACTCGATTTTTTTACCCCCACGCGTTTCTCTACAAAAAATTTCCCCCACCAATACAAAACCGCCACGTCATTTAAGGCTCACCACATGGGTCGACCCATAAAAAGCTTAGAGAAAGGCCGATCCTTTTTTTTTGGGCCTCAATTACATTATTTTATCCATCTTTATTGTTTAGCTACCCATTTTAAAATGTACATGCAACCTCAATGCACATGCTCTAAGCATCGGTTCAACATTTGGTTTTAAGGAATTATAGCATGAATTTTTGTGAAAAAAAACTGGTAACCAAATGTAAAAAGCCCTTTAATAAAACAATGATTCACCATTTTTAATTGTACGAAAGCCCAATGTAGATCTACTTATTATTCTTACACACCAATGTGCTAAACAAGACTAAACCGGTATCCAAAACCGCACAGACCCACTTCTCCACTACTAAACTTGATTTCTAGTTGAAACCAACCAATAAATGGGTTTTTTTTCAGACGCAAACAATAGCAATGTGCACATATAATCAGTTAGTATCATTCAATTCATCATCAGTCTCATCTAACAAATCAAAATACTCATCAAGATGCAATGGACAACAATCATTGGATGTTTCACGAGAACCATCAACACGACCCATTTGATCATCAATCATATCTTGCGACATGCCCCAAGACAACATCTCTTCTTCGGAGTGGTATATCCCGAAAGTGTACTCTCCACTCGCACCTAACTCCATCACTCTGAACTCGCAGTTCCCAAAGTTGTTCAATCGCTCGAACTCTTCCACCGTCCACTTGAACCATTTCATAAGAAACACCCGAGAGGTCAGCCCATGTGACACGATCACTAGATTTAGTTCACTCGATGGATCCACTTGATGCCTGTTCATGTCCACGTCTCTCCATAAAGACTCGAGGAAACCTTTCAAATGTGGTCAAACATAGAGATAATCGATATTACATAACATTCATGAATATCGAAACGTTTAACAAACTTTGACACTTGGTGTTCTACCAGAGAAGATGACTGTTGGTTCAACATTTTTATTTAAATATAGTAGCTACGAGGTTTCGTGTTTTATTTTGGCCTTAACAAATACAATGTAAAATAGTAATTGATTACCAAAAAAGAAAAAAAAAATCAAGAAAGTCGAAAACCAATCAAAGTACGTCTTCTTTTCTCAAGAATCGAGTCAAAAAGTCTTGAAAGTAGACCCGACCAAACTAAATCAATTAATGCATTTTAGCCATAGAATAAACCGAGCCTAAACCGGAAATAAACCACCGGTAAAGAGGAAGAGAGGCATAAAGAAAAACTTACTAGAAACACGATCGTAGACGTCGGAAGCAGATTCACCCTCAGGGAAACGATAAAAGAATCTTCCGAATCGTTCCCTCGTCTCCTTGACAACTCTCATCCTCTCTTCGACCTGAAAGTTGCCGAAATCTTGTTCCCGAATCCTACACTCTTCCCTAACTCCTATCACGCGCCTCCTCGAGAACCCTTTCCCAACTTCCCTCAGAGTTGTCCTCGTTCTCTCGTACGGTGACACGTAGAAGTACACGCGCCAGTTCTCTCCGCACGCGCCGTCGCCTCCGCTGCTGTGAGCTGAGATCAGTGCTCTCATCTTCCTCCCGGCTTCACGCGCCTGTGCTCGTCCTTCTTCCGTGAGAGGGATCTTGTGATCGGGCGTGGTCGCGTAAGCCCCTTGGTCTATGTTTCCGGCGGACTCGCCATGGCGCATAAGTATGATGCGTTTTGGAAGCATCTTCTTGTCGTTCGTCATTTTCTTCCTCTCTATCTTTTTGTCGTTTGAGATTACTATTATAGGATTTGGTTTTATAGTAGTGGAGATATGATTATTTTTGTCAAAGAAATGAAGAGCCCACCATATGAGACCACGTTCTCAAGAAGCCGAGCGACTACTTTTGTGTTTTATTATGAGGGATCTCCACTCCGTTTCCCACTGACGAGAAGATGTTTTCGTTTACCCTAATCTAACTCATTTTATTAATTAGTCCTGGTTGGTAATTTGTAGGTGCAATGGAAATTTGGTTTTAAATTTATTATAAGCAGAATTGTCTAGTGGTTGACGTGGAACGGGAATACATGACGGAACCGATGGAGTATTAAACCAACTTTCAATCTAAGTCTGTAATTAGTAAAAAAAAAAACTTGTTATAGCATTTAAGTAATCAAAAATTTAACTGGTTGATTAGCTTTGTTTGAGTCATTATCATTTTTGTTGTTTTTAATCTTTGTGGTTTGGTTCAATTACTTTCGTTTGTACAAGAATGTGTATAGGGTGCTGCTAATTCATTTATAAGTGTATATTGTAACAGTTGCCCCAATTAGAATTGGCAGTTTTTCTACCATTAATTAACTATCATCACCTTTGAAAAAAGTATATTTCTCCTTTGCATATAACTAAAATCATACATATTCCCAAACAGGAAAATACAGTATACAATTTGATTGTTGACTTTTTTCCATCCAAAATTCGATCCATACACAAATCTCATTCAAACTCACACCAATTACATTTTTTTTTTTGGTCAATTACAATAATCGATTTATATGCTTACTTTACCCAAAACGATATTATTGTACAGAGTTGGAGAGCAATGCTTGTATTTCTTCAAGTGATCGGCCTTTTGTCTCCGGTACCAAAAAGTATATAAATACAATCGATGAGGCGGAGACCATTGAGAAGATGAAGAACATTCCTTGAAAAATTAAACCAATAAAACACAATCAGTCACCCATATAACAAAGTCAAAACGTAGTAAATAACGGTGATATATCAACATGTTTATATCTAAGTACTTACCTGATGCGTTCCATTGTAGCATGAAATTGAAAGTATAAGTGACAACCCAACCAAATAACCAATTAGTTACGGTAACTAAGGTTCCAGCTGACACTTTCACATTCATAGGAAATATCTGCAGAAAAAACACAATCAGAAATAAAATAATTAGCACTATTTTCGCCGTTTGAACTCGATTACAATACAATAGCACTTTTACAAACCAGTATGTTTAAGAAACATATATTTTAATAGGAAAAACATGATGATGGAATACCTCAGCCATTATAATCCATGGTAGTCCTCCCATTCCCATCGCAAATGACACAATGTGACCCTATACATTTCATAAATCACCAATATAGATCTGATCAGCAAATCAGCAATGAGAAAAGCGTTCGGTAGTTTAAATGTTTAAGGTTATTACCAATACGCCGATGCAAGTGAAGATGGGAGTGAGATCTGGGAGAATTCCAAATGACTGTTCCACATTTAACAAAATTTGAAGACAATAATTAGCTAAAACGTTGCATACTTATATTGTTAATATTAATGGTAGACTTAAAAAATCACCTGGAAACCATAGGAAACACTTAAGAGCAAAGCACTAAAGCCCATTGCAGCACAAGAAGCCTGTTCAAGTTCAGATAAAAAGATTGTTCGTTTTTTTTAGTAGGATGAAGAAAACTTAATACTTTATTGAATCTTAATATCGCAAGAGTAGAACTAACCATTAGGAGCGTTCTCCTCCCCAATTTATCGACTATAATTGTTCCCAACATTGCTTTCGGAACCTACAAAATAATCGAATAATTAATTCATTTTTCATATTAAAATTTCTCTGATATTTTAAAGTAAATGTGTTTTGTTGTTTTTAAAAAATTTACCATGATCGTGGCTATTACAGATGTGCCAACAGCACTTGGAAATCCTGAAAATAAAACGTACTAGTATATGTTAAAAACAATTTTTTTTCAATAAACATATAAGTTAATTTTTAGTGGATTGAACTATTTAGACATGGGAATCTTCATTTTGTTGATTAAATATATATGGATATTAAGTTACCTCCTTTTTGGAAGAGGCTGCTGGCATAATAGGTCATACCCGAGCTCCCGCTCAATTGTTGCAAAAACATTAAACCGACTCCGATCTGTATACGAACATATGTCATTAATTACGTAATAAGAATTGATTCAAATGCAATTGAACCATCACGTTCTCTCTTTTTAAGTTGAAATCAGTCACATTTCATTAGAAACTATATGTTTTCTTAGTTCAGATAGTATTTGACAAATACGTACAACTAACGGATATGCATATCGTCTCTGAAACAATTCAGTCATTCCAGTTTCACCATCGAGCTCTGATATTTCAATGGTATCCTGCAAACGAAAAAGAAAAAAGAAAATATATATATATATATAATTTTGAAAACCAATACTTATATTAATAGTAAATTCTTTTTAAAAAATGGAAATTTCATACTCTAATTATGTTTGCTTCACGAGAAATGTCCACGTCAGATCCCCTAAGGCGTTGCAAAGCAGATCGGCATTCTTTATCACGACCTTTTTTCGCCTGTCATTCACATAACATGATATTTATAAATAAATAAAAAAACTTGAAAACTCTTTAAACCAATTTTCAAAATAAGATCATAAAATGGTTAAATTCATAAAAACCAAAAACATATATATGCAAATAAACTTACCAGCCATCTTGGAGACTCGGGAATAAAAAATAAACAAAAAACGTGGAGCACACATGGCACGAAGCCTGGAAACATACAAAACATAATGTTAAAAATCGACCGGTTTAAATTATATCTTGTCATTTTCTGAATTAGTAGATTATAACATCTGGACATAATCATACCGACTGTTGCCAATAATCGCCATGGAAGAAAGTTGCCAATGATGAAGAAGAGCGCAATGCCGCAATTTTGCATCAGCTGTACACATTTATAACAAAAATGTATGTTATTGTTCCAAATATAACGCTGGAGCAAATCAGGCTGGACCGGTTTGATTAAACTAGTTAGATCTTAATTAAAACTGTTACGAATAAACCCAATTTACTTACTTGATTGGCAAACACAAACGATCCACGGACATGTTTTGGTGCAATTTCGGCTATATAGACTGGAATCTACATTAAACACAACTTCGTTGTATCAGTAATCTAATCATTTAAGTATTTTAAATTTTGTCACTTTTGTGGGGAAAATGAATATAGAATAATATGAATTACCACGTAGCTAAATAAACCAACACCGATTCCAAGTAACAATCTTCCACAATCCAGCCACAATGCGTCCTTCAAAATATGAATATCAAAAAATAAGTTAATTCTACAAATAAACGCAGAAATTAAACAATAAAGATGTAAGTATCATTAAGAAAAGAAAAAAAAGTAAACAAGTCAAACAACAAGTTGAAGATAGAAAACAAACCTGAGCAAATGCTACGGCAAGCCAGCCTGTAATGCAAAAGGCTTCGCAAAACAACATAGTCTGGTTTTTTTTTTAAGAAAAGAGTTGAAAAAAATGGTAAGTCAAAACCGGTTCAGTAGATGATAACCGGTTAAACCAAAGCATGAGACAAAATCAAAACCGGAATGTTGTATATATAACTTACCCGCTTTCTTCCCAAGACATCGGCGACTTTACCGCTGAATATTGCACCAATCAAGCCTCCTAATGTCAAAATCGACCCGAACATTGAGTACTGCATGAGCATCAAATAAATAGGGTCAAATTAAAAAGTCAAACTCAAAAACTACATTTTTCAGCAAAAAAATTGAGGAATAGCAATACGTATTTTATTCGTTACCTCTGCAACTGAGAGCGATAAATCTTTGGTAATCCCTGCTTGCGCACCCGATGAAAAACCCGCCTACATAACCGATACAAGCATATCAATTAAGATGGTTCAGAGCAAAATTGGAAGACAGGGAAAACCGGATGGTCTATATCTAAACCGGGTATGAACCGAACAAAACCGAGATCGAATCGAAAAGATGACTCACGCCACAACCGGTGCAGAAGGAGCCAGCGACGGCAACAAAGGTGCTGAGAAAAACAGAGGCGGTAACACGACAGTCACCGTCGTCGTTTTGAGCTTTCTTAATAATCTCTCTCGGAGATTTCCTCGATAACCCGGCTTCTAAGAAAACGTCTTCGTTTGGGAACTTTCGCTCTCTAATGCTTAAGCTCTTCCTCAGTAACCCTTTCTCCATGCTTTTTTGTCTTTCCATCGCAAAACAATCCTATTTTTTTTGGGTTGTTGTTGTTCTTTGGAAAGCAATTACAAGAAAAGTTAGATGATATAAAAGAAGAAAGAAAAATACAAGAAAAGTCGAGTTGTGAGGACTTGGAAGTTTCTTGAGAGGTTCTTATGCAAATTGAGGACTGGGATTTGGATTATTGTCTCTACTCGTACAATTGGATATTTTATAACACGTCATAAATCATTTTCTATAGTCTTTTTTGGATTAACTTTTTTTATATTCAGTGGACTTGGTCGTGTACCCTTGGGCGATGAAACTGTTGACTGGTCGCTTAGTTTCATATATATATGTAGTGGCATTTCGTTAATATTAATATCAGAAAGTTAGAATTGTTCGTCCCGCGTAGATCTTTTTTATTTTTCTATTTAGTATAAGAAGGCGGCTCAAAAGCACACTATTTAAAAATCTTATATAGTAAAAAATTGTTCTGGTTAGATTCAGTCTCAGGCATCTACATTGAACTTGACTATGGGTTTGATTTTGTTTTTTTCTGTGATTGTTACTGCTTATACTTATAAGAATCTGTGTTGTACAGTGATAATTTTAATTTGTGTATATACCTAAATTTATGGTCATTATATGCATGTCAAAATATAAATTGATATGTTTAATTATATATGTAATATAATTTAGGTATATACAAATACTTATTAATGATTTGCTGGTATTTTATGCAGGACCAAATAAAGAGTTAAATCTTGGTTGAATAATAGAAGTCATTGTAGCGCCGAAGAGAACGAAAGAAATATATCCATCCTTATCAATTATTGAAGGATTGAAAAGTCGTTGCAACTTGTGTCTTCTTGGTCGACCACCCTTTGTTTTTGACTATTCTCTATGTACAGCCAAGCCACAACTATAAGGTTGATCCATTTCTAATACTCCATCAATGAATTTTAAATTGATCAAAATCTCGACAAATTTGACTGATCTATGCACATTTAAATTTATATATTATTATATGTCAATACAATTTTTTTATATTACATATTTTATTATATGGGTCCCTCGTTCTATCTGGTCATAAATGCAATAAACAAGAGAGTAAGAAGTTAAAGGCAAGCTTAATGTTGGCTACATGAACAAATAACGCATGTGGTCTTTTTCATAGTTTTACACTAAAGAGAAATTGAGAGCGAAAAACTTTTTTCCTAGCTAGAGGATTCAATTCTACTAAAGGCTGGAACATAGATCTGAAAGAGAATTAAAAATGTTGTTTTCTAATGAAAAATGGCAATATATATCATGCATATCCCGAAAAATGAAATTATTCATGCATATAGTTGAGTCCAGGGATACTATTATTAGGTTAGCTACGTTCTTATTGGTATAAGTATTAGTATACTGTATAACCATAAGTAGAAGAGTTATACGTACAGCTTAATTGGACATATTAATTAATAGGGACCAAAATTCTCTCTTCCACCCTTTCATGAGTAAACACCTAATTTTCCACATAGATGTTTCTTGCGGTTTCTTGAAGTAAGTATTTAATTAGAAGACGAAATCTAAAGCCTGGTTTATACAAATTGAATCTGTACATGCAGTTCAATTCGTTCAAGCTATTTTTATTCATTTATGTAGTCGAAATCTAAAAGTAAAACAATTCAGAAATTTGTTGTTTTTTACCTTTTAGTAGTTACATGTACTTTGTATGTGGGAAAAAAAAAACATCGATTCACTTATATTTGGTAATTAGTGTTCAGTTACAACTTACACTATCGTCAATCTTTTTTCCAATTACTACTTGGAAGAAAAACAAAAGGCCCTTAACTAAGCGGACGAGAGAGAAAGATCGGCCTAATATAAATTAGGGCCATAGGGTGACAACAAGAAACCTGCTTCAATCTAAGATTTAATTTGAGTCAATGTTTCAAATCTACTCACATAAGTATCTAAGAGCATGTCCATCAAAGAACTCTTTCTTAGAGTTTTTAGCAATTTTTTATTATTATTTTATTATTATTGAATAGTTAAGAATTTTCTAATATTTTGCTCCTCCACTAATTAAAGGGTTTTTAAAAAAAAGAACGTAGATGAAGAAGATGACCAGTACATTTAAAAAGCCATTTGGAGAGAAACACTGTCTCAATGTTTTTTTTAGCCAAAACCAATGGACACGTGACAGGTGTTCTAAAAATTTTGTAAGGATCAATCCTAAAAATCCTTCTGCAATGATCGATTCATAGAGTTTAGACTTTATTTATTTATTTTTAAACTCAAAATAGCTAAAAAATCTAATATAAAACCCTTAAAAAATCTCAATGGACCTGGTCTAAGCCCGTTTGTAATGGTATGGACACAAAACCTGATTAAAACGAAACCCGCGCATAGTAACAGTGCGTATATATATTTTATAGATGTTAAGCCCCCCAATAAACGTAAGTGTTTAACTTCTGTATTGCCCCATTTTCTTACCAAATTTCTTCTAAAAAAAATTGGACTTCCAAGCCCAAATATCTATTAGGCCCATTTACTTTCGTCAAGATCAAAACCTAATCATCTTTGCTGAAAATTTTGGCAAACTGCTTACTTGTCCAGTGCGTATTCTTTCGCGACTATGCCGTAACCGACCAAAGTAATTAACTGGTTTGTCCCTATCTGGGTAATTTTAAATTAATTTTGCTTAACAATTTTCACTTTTAGTACAAAGACAAAATACTTAAATATTTGTCGCCTAAGAAATTACAAGACAGATCAGGAACAGCTTATTAGACACTCCAGGGTACACAGAGGAAACAAAGTAAAACACCTTCTTCCACAAATTACCAGAGATCGTAGATTGTTTATCTATAGTTATTCATCTTCAATTTGGTTTGTTCTTCTATTTTCTCCTAAAGAAAACGAACGCAAGTAACATAAAGGCATGTAAGGAAGAAAATAATTAATATTAATAATAGTGGAATTAAGGTGGTTACTTATTACTTTTATCATCTCCCTGAAATATTTGCATATGAAAAAGAGGCATCGACTAGTCAACGATTAATAACTGTGCCTATTTTGTCGATTAGCGATTTCTAGAAAAACTTTCGAAACTAAACAAATCGACCAATCGATCATGAATAGAGGAGAAAAGGTTATTATTAATGAGATCATTCGCATATGCTCTCTGCCTTTCTTTGTTCCTTTCTGATTAATAAAAATATTATCTAAACTAAAGTGATTCTGTTTCACAAATCAATGCTGAATGCGTGCAAGTTGTCACCTACGATAGTTCAATATAATACGAAATAAGATGAAAAAAACATCTTGATGGGTACCGCTTTGTAAGATAGTAGTATACTAGTATAAAAGAATTAAACTTCAATAGTTTAAACTAACTAACTAACAACAACAAAAAGGCCAAGATAATAAACGTCAGTACGGTAGTTAAAACGTTCAAAAGGATTGTTCTTTTATGATTTATGCAAATTAGATGCACTCAACCTGTCACAGGTGTGGTTGGCACAACAATAGCTAAGTTATATTTTATTATATATGTATAAAAAAAATCGAAGATTCAAAGGAAATAAAGTTAACTTGTTTTCATGAAACTTAAAGTGCAAAAATCTAATTTAAAAAGAAGTACCTCAATACTCTATAAATTTACATGAATAATGAAGCCGGAAATATGGACCAAAATTTACAAAACAAATGATTCCTATCGGAAGAATATAGTCGGCCATAATTTATTCTTTTGTGATAATGACAATGCAAGCAACAATCAATACAGTTAAAACTTAAAAGTAACCTTTTATAATTCCTTTTTTTGCGTAAAGTGGCACTATACTATACATAAGTGGGAGTAGCTGAGTAACAGACAAAGAGAGAGAGATAGAGAGGTCTAAACATTTTTTTCCTAAAAGTGATCCCTTCTCTCTACTGTATAAAATGAGGAAACAATTATAACAACAAAAAAAACTATATCCTCCTCCACTTAAATCCAAAAAAAGAAAAGAATAACTATTAACATGTAGTTTCCCAGTCTCACTGTAGAAAATCTGTAAGAGAAGCTTGTATATCTTCAAGAGTTCTTCCTTTAGTTTCGGGTACCATCGCATAAATAAAGATTAAACCCGCAGCGCATATACTGAAGAAGATCAAGAACGTTCCTGCAAAATATTATACTCCAAAAATGAGATAAAGGAACTAATTATAAGGTTTGATTATTTTGAGAGTGTAATTGACCATATGATTCATTTATATATACCAGATGCGTTCCATTCTATCATGAAGTTGTAGGCGAATGCTACAATCCAACTAAAGGACCAGTTGGCTAAGGTAACCAGAGTCCCAGCTGAAACTTTAACATTCATTGGGAAAATCTGCAAAATCAAAATGTTTTACCGTATTAGAATCTGGAAAAAAAGAAGATGTTATATTGACTTTTTGTTTTTGTAACAAAAGTTAAATTGACTTTGAGGAGGAGTTTCTAAAGAAGAAGTTAATGTTGGTTTGTACCTCAGACATGATGATCCATGGTAAACCTCCCATGCCTATGGCAAATGCAGAGATGAAACCCTGTTTTTGTGAAAGAAACATTATGTAAAAATCAAATCAATTTTATACAAAGAACATTTGCTTTTTTATGTCGAAAAAATGATTTTATACGTACCACTACACCGATACATGTAAAAATCGGAGTGAGCTCATCGAGCATGCCATATGACTGTCCAAGAAAAGAGAATAAACATTGGTAAATATAACAGAGTGAATCCAAAATTTTGTATATCATTTGGTATTAGGCGAATTGTGAATGGTACCCGAGAGCTGAAGGAAAAAGCAAGGAGCAAGCTGAAAAAGCTCATCCCACCAGTAGAAGCCTGTAATTAAAATATCATTCATGTGTTAAAAACAGATGCTTAATTCATCTGATTCATTTCATTATTTGACCAAAAGAGATGCTAGATTTTACCAAAAGGAGCGGCCTTCTTCCCATTTTCTCAACCAAAATCAGACCCAATAGAGCTTTTGGTATCTGCAAGCAAGAACACAAGAGCATAAGTATAGTCGTTGGCAAGGGTTTTTTTTTTGAAGGATGAAAAACGAAACTATGTGCAAAGACATACCATGATTACTGCAAGAATCATTGAGCCAATGTTGCTTGGAAATCCTGTCAAGAGCAAAAAGAAAAAAAAAAAGAGATTTGCATGTTACTACATATAAAGACAAAATCCATTGTCTTCACATGAGAAACAGAGTATGTTTTTCTCTATTTACCTCCTTTATCAAATACACTACCGACATAGAACATAATCCCTGAGCTTCCAGAGAGCTGTTGAAGAAGCATTAGCCCAACACCAATCTGGCAGAAAAATAATGTCACAAACTTCAGTAAAAGGTAAAAGAGGGAAACCTCGACATATCTCGCCACAAAAATGTTTCAGAATAACTTACAACAAGAGATGGAGCATATCTTCTCTGAAACAAATCCATAACTCTGGATTTTGGTCCTTGATCAAACAACACCATGGTTTCCTAGAGTTGGATTGGTCATTAATTATTAGTCACGCGTTTTGAATTGAAACAACAAATTTGAAGAAGTATCAAACAGAGATGTTTGAAAAGTTGCAATACTTTGATAGTGTCGGCTTCCTCAGAGACATCAGCTTCATCTCCACGTAGAAGCTGTAATGAAGCTCTACATTCTTTTTCGCGTCCCCATTTTCCCTACGTACCATTTAAACCAAAATAGAAATGATCACTTCACATGTTAATTATCCTCCTTAAAAAAAGGATTGAAAAAAGGTTAAGTTCTAAACATACCAGCAATCTAGGGGACTCTGGAATGAAGAACAAAGTCACAACTTGCAAAGCACATGGAATGAGACCTGAGACAAAAACCGATTAAGACTTGAATCATTCTCGGCCCATGCATCACTATAAAATGCTAGGAAACAAAAAACAAGGTTTTGATTAAGCTTACCGATTAAAGCCAAATTACGCCAATGAACAAAATTTCCAATAACGTAGTATAAAGACAACCCACAACTCTGCATCAGCTGTAACAACAATTTTTTAAAAGATTATTAGTATCAGAATCTTTTTTGGGGGGTAAATAAGTTATGATTATTCACTGAAAATTATTCTTAAATTACCTGATTAGCAAATACAAATGCTCCTCGAACATGTTTTGGTGTTATTTCTGCGATATAAACTGGTATCTGGTTGCAACAGAGCGTTAACAGAGAGTTCAGTACTAAAGATAACTCTCTCTCTCTATGCATGTGAAAAAAAAAGGGAAGATAAAAGGTAGAAGATTAATTACCACGTAGCTGAATAAACCAACAGCAAATCCAGTGGATAGTCTTCCAGCATTCAACCATATCGTGTCTTTAGCTAATGCTATTGCAAGCCAACCGGCAATGCAGAAAATTTGAGCAAACCACATTGTCTGTTTTAAGTAAACAAAGAGAAATTCATAAGTACATGTTCTTGAAACATAATATTATATATATATATATATATTCAGAAAAGACAGATTGTGAAATTTTTACCCCTTTTCGACCAATGAGATCTGCGACTTTCCCGCTGAAGATGGCACCAATCATCCCTCCGAAAGTCATGATTGATCCAAACATCGAGTACTGAAGTAATAAAAAGATAAGAACTTTTGAGCAAAGGTGGCAAGAGTGAGACTCTATGAATCATAAAAATGTGTTCTTTCTTACTTGTGCAACAGAGAGGCCTAAATCTGTTACGATCCCTGATTGAGCAACTGATGAATAGCCTGCCTGTAAAATCCAACCCCAAATAATCTTATCGATCATAATTCACAGAGTTTTGTAGTATATGAATCATTTAATTCATATTGTCATGAACCCAGAAAACAAAAAAACAAAAATTGAGAATTGATGAGAGATGATTGATTAGTAAAGAATAGACTAACCGCACAACCGAAGCAGAAAGAGCCACAAACAGAGACGAAAGTACTGAAGAGCACAACGGCAGTGATACGACACTCGTTGATGTCGTTTCGGTTCTTGTTCAGTAACAACCCAGCTTCTAGATTTCTTTGGTTCTCCGACGACATGGTCATCTTTCTTATGTCCAAATTTTTGGAAAATACTTTCCTGTTAAAAAGGGTTTTTTTTTGTTTGTTTGGAGTGTTTTGCGAATATGTTTTTGATCGGGTTTTTGGCTTCGGTTTGAAGACTGAGTCGGAAAGGAAAGCTCCATTTTATATTCCATGAGTGATGGAGGAGGAAAGCCAGAGGTCAGCTTCCCATCTTTTCTTTTGTGTCACGTTTCTATTCGTTTTTTTATTATTTCTATTTATTATTCATTTATTCTATTTGTGTTTGTTTTTTAAACTCTTTTTTATTTCTAATTACTTGACTTTTTGTTGGCCGTCTGGCGTATGATATTTAAAGTAATGTGATTCCTCATCTTTATCATTTTGTTTTTGTTTTTTTTTACTTAGTGGCTGTTATCCCTTCTTTATTGGGTAACTTTGAAAGTGGTCCCTACCTCGTATCAAAACCGTAATACAGTGAAAGTTTTTTTGTAATGAATTAGAGTATTTGATAGGTGTCTATATTCACTATTATGAATCATCCGGAGTGCCTCCACTATTTAATGGAGTGAACAACATAACTATCCATAAATATAGATATTTAACAAAAAAAAATATCTATATATATATATAGATATTTTGTTTGAATAGACCATATACATATTTCCTTTGTTTCCATATAATTTTCCTTTTGCAAAATATTCTTCTTTTGAAAACTGTCGATTTTTAGAGTTTTTCAATGTACATTTGGGTCAAAAATACATGATTTCGTCCTAGTAGAAAACAATAATAAGAAGATACACGTTATTGCAAGAATCAATTATTTTGGAGAGGCATATTATATTAATATACGTATTTGGAAAAGACAGTGCAAGCTTTGTTATGCCGAAACTTTCTTAATTAGCGTAAAAAAAAAAAAGTCAAAACATCACTTACCGTTTATTCAAAAGACTAATAGTAAGATGAGTGTCAGAATATTCTGAAGCAGAGTAGGAAATATAATCGTTGACAAACGGAAAGAGTAGTTATAATATTTCTTACGTGATATGATGAATCAATTTAGAAGGAAAAAAATACGCCCTACTTGGTTAATCCATTTTATGTTATCACGAATTGAAAATGAGTTGTCACATTGAATAATTTCATGCAATACAAGACGCGTTATAACTGTTAGAGGTTTGAAATTTATATAAGGAAAAAAAAATGCCGTGCACGTTAACTATTGCGTTAGAGTAATGAGCCAGTTCAAGATTACTTGTAAGCAAATCCAGAAACTACAAATCCATTTTCAAAGGTCATAAGCTCACCGGTTTCTCCTCGCATTTCAAAATTATGACATATATTGTCATATCTAATTTGATACCGACAGACTGTGATTGATTGCTTATTATGGAAAAAGGAATACAGGAAATCATCTACAACTTTTGAATGTTATTCGGCGAAAAAAGGTATTAATTGTCCTATCTCATTCTATATCTTGAAAAGGAAAATCAAAGGTAATTTTAGGCTATTTTCAAAATAAAAAAAAATACAGGAAATATAGGAAAGGGCTAACGAGTAGAGAGCGATATTCATTTCGTAGTCTTATGTGGCTCCGACTTGATGGATCAACTTAAAGAAACACAACTACATTATTCACCAAAATCAGTAGATATGTACAAAGTAATCAACGTTATTTGTCACTATCACGTTTTTTGTCGCCGCAGGTTGAACGCACTTTGGAAAAATTGCGTTGGATATGTTATATGTATCAGATGGATACGATGTTTTTATTTTACTATCATTTTTCTTTAATAAAAAAATATTAGAAATTTAGAACTCATTATATGAGTTATAAGAGAGTTCGGCCTTACAATTTCTTAAGGTTTACACAATCCAAATATATATATATATATATAGATCATTTACGTAGATCATATTATAAGAGTTAATTAAGTAAATATTTACTTACAAGGGTAATAATCACACACGAATTGAGAAAAGTGAAAGACCAAAAAATAAGCTTACAACTAGATGTTATGTTGGAATGTATCTTAACATTTTTAATAAGTGCTTGAAATGCCGTTACAGTAAAGGGCTATTATATTGGGAGATCGATCAACTACAGCAGAGGATGGTGTGGACATCCCTGAGGCTTTGCAGCCGTTTATGAGTAGAGAGACGCTTTTGTCCTTCAATGCTAAGCCCGTAGCTTCCGAGACCAAACCAAACATTCTTGATTGATAGATTGTGATTTTCATGAAACTGATGAAAAACTTCAGCGTTTTGTGCAACATATTGGGAACTTGCTTTATGTTACATGGACCTTTTGTTTATCGTTATACTTCAATATCGTTATACATGTTAATATCATGTAATGTTTTTCTGGAAACAAAAATTTCACATTAACCATACTTTTGATTGGTATTTTGAATTCCTTGTCAAGCTCCTGATCTAGTTAAAGATTCAAAAATATAATCAGGTAAATAATCAAATCAACACATGCTTGGAGATGTATTGACTAGTATTTTGTTTCTCTTTGAGATTAAAATAAGAGAAAGAAAAAGCAATAGCAACAAAAAAAAATCAAGAGAAAGGTGATTCGTCAGTGAAACTGTGACCCCAAACAAAAAAAATTAGTGACTCGTAGTATCTTTAAGAATCTTAATGTTGGGATTCTTTAATGTTTGGCCTCCTTTTCCTGACTCATTTTAAGATCTACATAAATTTTGGTCCATTTTACATGTGACGAAGAAAGTGGGTACTCCAATAACAATTTGTGACCTAAAAGAATTAATTAATAATTAGAAGGTGCGTTGGCAAAAAACAAAAATACTTAGCTGCAGGATATGGGCGTTTAAACAGATTATTATATTGGCCGACAGGTTTATGTCCTTCTCGGAATGAAGCACAAAATTTAACTAATGCGACTATAGTTGTAAAAGCAAAAATCACTTTATTTCAAAAAAAAATTATTGATAATTTTGTATATTTTTTTGTCGGCAATAGATGATTTTTTTATAATACCCCGAGAGGAGAGCTTTTACCCGGGATTCGAAAATAAAAAAAAAAACAGAAAAAAAGAAAACATATAACATACGATAATCTATAAAAACGATCTGACAAATAAACATGAAAAATTGTTTCAAAAAAATAAAAATAAAAACTAAACATGAAATCAATATGGGGAAAAACAAAAAAGTCTTGTGCGCAAAAGAAAGTCAAAGTATCAATAAATGGAAAATTGAAGTGATGTGATAGGGATGAAAAAGCAAATTGAGTAGGGCATCAAACCACCTAAACCGCTCTTAACCACAGGGGACAACAATTTCAAGTATAAACCGGAGAGTCATAGTAGCGGATATAGATTAATGATGGTAAACTAGAAAATTATATTAAGATGTAAATAGGGAAATATGATGTTTATTGAAGAATCGAGTGATTTTCAAAGAAGATGAGAAAATCAAACTTATTTTGGAACGAATCTTGTACAACTAAACCAGCACATTTGGTGACTCCGAATCCCCATATTTGTTTTTTGTCATATGGGTTTTAGATCTATGCGATTGCGATCGTACTAACTATTGTTTTTAAAATTTTGGATTGAAGAGAAGTGCAATTTGATCATGTCCTTTAGTGTGTGTGATAATGTGACTTGTTGTTTATATAAAAACATAAAGGAAAAACTTTAGAAGCATGAGAATTTTGTACAGTTATAAAGATTGTCACAGACAAGTGGAGCTCAGGGATAGAAAATAAGTATAATAGTAATAAAATTGAAAAGTGTGTGTATATTGTTTATTTGTTTAATCGGAATCATCTCGGGGTACATTGGATCCATTCTATCTCATTCAGATATCCAATATTCGGTAGTTATATACATACATACATACATATAGTATAAAGTTTATAAACGGCCACGAGGTTGGCTATCATACATTCATATCTCCATATCGTGTTTTCTTGTCGCCTTCGCATATTGATTTCCCCTCAAATAATTCTCTTTCATTATAATATTAGAAGATAGAATAATAAATAACCTTTGGTGTTTGAAAGAAAAACAATAAATAAATGAGTTCGTTATTTTTTTATTTCAGTAGTTCACGTTTTTTGTATGATGAACAGCGTACCTACCAATGCACAACTTCAATCTACTTATTTTTATGTAAGGTTTGGAATTTAAATGTTTTTTAATTCGGTTTTAATGTTAGGAATTTTAACATGGTAGATTACTATTGTACTGATCCGATCCATTGATCCAGGTTTGATAAATCAGAAGTACATACTATAATATAACCATAAGTAACGTTGGTAATTATATAAGTGGTGTGTATTAAAGATCTTTTTAACGGTGAAGGTATTCGAGTGCGGAAAAGAAAGAAAGTAATTCCCAAAACATTGCTCTAGTTTTTAGTCCGAAAGAAATTTGAGATACTTTTTTAGTTTTTAGGTTAATTGAGCGTTTGGGAACAAGATAGGATCAGAATTCAGAACTGTGACCTCATGATTGTTCGAGATATGGACTAGAAGTCTAGGACCACCGCAAAGGATTATATCAGACAAACTCTATCATTTGACAGTTTCTTTGTCTAGTTGCTTTTAAGTTTTGCTTAGATTAGGAAGCGCAATACGAAAACCTGAAATGACTTACCCGAACTGTTAAAATTTTTGGTACTAGGTTAAAGTTTTTAGGATTTTTTTTTCAGTACCAAAAAAAGATCAAACGATTCATAACCGGAGAATACCCTAGATCCAAAACAACTTGCCCCATATACATACCGGAGGCCTAAACCGGTTAGTACCAAAAAAACGACTTATATACTACTAGTACCCTGCTGATCGTGTTAGTTGCTACGTACCCTGTGCTACATACCTAAGCCATCAGATATCACCATGTCTCAGGAGGCATTGACCAAAACGACCCCAATGACCTTACACCCTCCTCCGTCACGGGCAATGAACCTATCCCAGCTTGTGTTTCATTACTACCAATCGGATAGCTTGGATGCGCCAAAAATGCTTGAATTTCACCAGCTATACTGTTATAAGCTGTTGTTGTTGGCTGAGGCGGAGCAAGTGTTGTTTGAGCTTGTGCCTGAACCGGTCGGGTAGGTCGAATGATCATGTGGTCATACCCCGTGGAACCAGGCGCTATGCTGCCTCGCATCCGAATCTGTGGGCGCCAGTTTGCAGTGTTAGCACCATGATTCGTATTCATGAATTCACCTGATGAGAACTGTTCCGCTGCACCACCATGATTCAGTCTTTGGACGGGTCTTTGAATGGGTATTTGCATGTGTCTCTGCTCGGAGGTTCCTCCATGGTTGAAAGCTAAAGTTTGGGGATGTGTGATGGAAGCTCGCATCGGTCTTCCCTGTGCAAGGGACAGGCTCCTCATGGAAAGCATCTGGTTCTGCAAACATGGAATGTATACCAGTATAAGTCTGTAGCTTCACCGGACATCTAAGCAAACAAACCAAAAAAAAAAAAAAAACAATCATAGGGTAATGGATGATAAACCTGCATTGCATAATGGTGCTGTGACGGAGGAGGCATGTGTGGTAATTGAGTTTGAGTTACGCCATTTCCATGGATGTGGTTCCATCTCTCCATCAAATCAGGGGTTCTTCCTAGACAGTGTTCAAGGGGCGTAACATTGACATGGGACCCTTGAAAATGAGAAGACTGAGCACCAGGCATTGGTATGTGAAAGCTGGCCGTATTTGTAGCTAATCTATCTTGCGGAGATGAGAATGTCATGGGTATGGAATGTGTTGCTGCTGAATCCCGCGTGTTTTCTACATGCGGAAAGTTGATGAATTGTTGCTGCCCATCAAAAACATTCAAAGTTTGTGGCAACTGTGGCAGTGCATGGATTGAAGAAGAAGGCTGGTTAAGCATAGTATGATCTGTAGTAGAGTTATTTGTGGTTGACGGACCCTGAAACTCGGATGAACAAGACTTCTGTTCATTAACTTGAGTGCCACCGGAAGTTTCCATTTCATTCTCATCGCTGGTAAGATCCAAAACAGTTGGCTTCAAGTTTAGGAAACAATTTTGATCTCCGTGGTCATAAGTGGTTTCTGGCACAGCTTCCACATTCTCACCGTTTTCGGTTGCAACCCTCCATGATCCATCCGCAGAGATAATTACATCTGTAGCATTAGGTCCCACCTCTTTTAGAATCTGTGGATATTAGACAAGGTTGTTTATTCAGTGTAGGATGCGAAAAAATGTACCACCAAGCAACAGTAGTAAGCTACTTGCCTTTAACATGTTTTGATCTACACGGATGTCAGTATAGCAGACAGCCTGATTGCAATGCGGGCAGCGCCATGATGGTACCCTCGTATTCATCTTGACATAGTTCCAGAAATCAAAACACTACAACGAAAGCAACATATCACAACAGAGATGAGGGAAATATTTCTATAATTTTTAATTTCGCTATAAGGCAAGCCCTTCTACTAGCAACTTTCACAATGAAGGATGTTACACATTTATAACGTAACGTATCTACTAGCAAAATCATACTTCAAGAAGAAGCAACAGCGAAGCAAACAAGAGCCTAAACTGCTATGTATTAATGAAATAGTTCTCTTCACCAAGATTTAAATAATGGAAATCAAGAACGATATTATCATTTCTTATGCTGAACAGAAAATGCATCACCTGAAGATGTTTACAGACATGACCCTTCACAGGAAGTTTAATACGCGTGCGGCTGTTACAATGGTGATGATTAAAATCTTCAGGTAACTGTGAAAGCAAGTTCTTGAGATATAAAGATAGAAAATAAAAAATCCCCGGGTACCTGATAGGACAACTGAGAGATATCCTTGATGGGCCCTCAATTATGTCACCATCTATAGGCAAAAATTGAAAAAGACAAACAATGGCTTCACTGTGGGAAATGCAATAAACATTAAGGGGATAGTTTCTTCTCCTAGTGACTAGATACTCTTGAATTTACCTGAATTCGATTCATTGGCTTCAGAATGAACATAATCTTTCAGCAATGGATTGACGGGCACTGGTATGTCATTCATTAAGGCAATAACAATGATGTAACTACCTATAACAAATGGGTATTTGTTCATTATCACTGAAAATGAGTAGAAGAAATAGAGATGATGAATAAAATCTAAATTGAACAGAAACCTCCAAAACAGCCTATTGTCTGCAGAAGATTCGACCCAGCGTTGAGCAGGGTAGTAACATTCGTTGGAGGCTGAGGCCCTGAATCCTGAAAAGAAATTACAATAAACAATTACTTGTAACATAGTAAGTACTTCAAAAACATATCCGAGAAACAAACGAAATGCACAAACCATTGAGATGCTAACTCTCTTATCAACGTTCCTTCCATTCAACAAAAAGCTGTATAAAAGCCAATATGGTTAACATACAAAAACTGCTTCACAAACGGTCAGTGGAAAAAGGATATCAATCCAACCACACCTGACTTCTTGGGGATGGATAATACAACTAGATTTGCTTATGTCCTCTGTCCGGAACACAAATAATCCCTGAAAGAGCAAACAAATAATCCTTTATAAGTAGGTACATAAAAAATGATTCAAAACAATAAACTGCTGAAGTAACATGGCCAGAGAAGCTGAAACTTAAGCTTTGTAAATACATTCATGCATCTGCGTAAATGCAGGAGAAGAGAAACCACACACGCACAATACAATATGACTACATGAGCGAGCAAGCAAATTTAACAGAAGACGCAAAATCTAGCACCAAGACTAGTAGCGTAATAAAAACGTATCCATAACTCAAATTCCAATACATACTACTATCTGTTTGAGAGAACGTTGCAGCATCTTCTTTGAAATTTGGAAGTCCTTCATCAATATGTTTGATTCTGTCTGCCAAAAGAAACAAAGCTAACTAAAGCACACATTGAAAAAGGTGCTTAGAAAAGAATAATATTAAAAAAAGTCACCTTCGCCTCAGAAGAAAGAAGAATATGCCCCAGCTTCAGAAACGGATAGAACCTATGGAGAGAAAAGAAGGAGATTCAAACAAACGAACGTTTCGATTTTAATGAACAAATTTTTCTTCCAGTAGTACCCTTGCTAGTGTGAGATAAATGAATGAACACACAAGTCCTGCCTAAGAAGCTGTCAAAAACATTCGAAAACTGCATCCTACCTCTCCATGACCAGCGGAATTAGACTGAGGGGATTATTTAGACTAGAGGTGACATTTTCAGGACTGCTGAAACCTTTCCACATCTGTACAAGAAGCCAAACCAAAAAAAAAATCTATTTAGTAATTACAGAATCCTAATTATTCTCTAATTAGAAATTAGTAGCGAAGTACACATACCGAGTCTATGAGAGCCAACAGTTCTTGAGACTCTCTCTCCGGGAACCATCCAAGCTGACAAGCACTCTGTGCCAGCAACAACAACAAAAAAATACAGTTTTAGAGAATACCTATAGAGGATCCAAATGTACAAGTTCTGCTAAAATGACCCAATAACTAAAGAACGAGGGAAGACAAGGAAAAAAAACAACATCATTCACAACTACAAAAGGTACTAATTTTAACTCAGTCTCTCTTATGATTGTTACCTTGGCTGAGATCATCAGCGCCATTATCACAGCCCTCGTTTGATCAGTACATCTACGTTGGCACACCTAAACACACAAACAAACAAAAAAACATCAGTACCTTGAAAAAAATTGAAACTTGTAGAAACCACAAACTTGTAGAGAAGCAGAAATTAAACAAACTTGATTTAAGACTCCAGGCAGCTCTTGGGCGTACGTAGGAACTTCATCCTTGCCAATATATCCATCGATTAGACTGCAATTCACAAAAAACCAAAAGATTCCACCGAATAATCAGGAAAGAAACCAAAAAAAAAAGGGAGAAAATTTCTAAGTGAAACTAGAAACCCAGAAATGCAGATTTAGGTTAACAACGAAATGTAAGTGAAGTGAGATTTACTTAGCGAGAGCGAAGCAGCGATCATGGAAATCCTTGCTGTCGGCATCAGCGCCAAACCACGACCTAAACGTTAAAATGAAGAATGTTTGTGAACTCAAATTTTTTTTTTTAATATAGAAACTATTAAACAATAATTAGTAGTTGATACTTAGACTAAACAAATCAAAAGTCAAACGACAGAGAAAAAATCAGACTACGCATATGATAAAATAAAATACCTAAAATTCGGCGAAATCACCATTTGTGTGAATCTTGAAGATTCTTCTTTTTCTTTTTCTTCTTCTTCAGTCTTCACCGAGAAGTTTCGGGGGAGACAGTTTATTCCAAAAACCAACACGACACAGCCGCTAGGCAGTAGCTTACGCTATTTTATAGTTTGCAGTTTACTCCTCTATTTTTTATAATTTCACTGCGTGGTCCTTCAACTTCTAACTGTGTCACTGAATCGCCGTCTAGTTTATCGTCTTTCTCCATATTTATGCGACGCTTCCTCTTCGTGTTGCCTTTATTTTTCTTTTGTCACCCACTTTGTAACCTTCATCTATATTATTGTGAATCAAACTGAAGAAAGCTTAATCAAAGAGAGAAATCGCAAATTGAAACAAACCCTATTTAAAGTTTTCTTATTAATTATGTGAATGAATAACTACAAACCTTAAATTTTGTATTTATAGCTCAAAAACCCGACTTCCAAATCCACTCGATAAATGAAAACCTAAATTAAGCCCGATAAAAAAACCGTATCGTAAAAGAACTCCTACATCCCAAGTGAATCCACATCCGCCTTCGGCCCATTACATTCTTTAACTTGTTCTAAGATAACCTTTTTAGAATACTTTGTCACCTGAAATAGAATACTTTGTCACCTAAAATAGAATATTTTGTCACCTGAAACATAATGCAGAAACACTTTTTTGGTAAAGTAAGGACAAATTGAGAATTAGTGACCGAAGAAACGTTGGAAAAAATCATTCTATGCCTTTTCATTTCTCATCAAAATAAAATAACTTTTAATTCGTATCAATTTAAACCAGTTGACCAAAATTTATTTAATAGTTTATACCATTTGATGCAGCTGAAAAATCTTTTGATTATGTTTGAATATCTTAAGAGTATAATTTGTATCCATAACTATGATGATTAAGTTAAGAAGAATGTTTAGCAAAAAAAGTTTAGAAGAAATGAGTAATTATACTTCTATTAAATATGTGGTGGTCTAGTAGTTTTCACTTTTGATTGTAGAACTATAGATATTCAAGATCCTTAAATTCAATTTCATTTGGAAAAATAATTTACGTTTTAAATATGGTATTATTAATGGCTAGTTTGCAACATCGAATAAAATGAAGAATATGAGCCTCGAAAAGCCGGAACAACCTCAATAGTTTAAAATTTTATAACAGCATAATATTTTCGCTGTTTTCACTTTCAACCGTATAAAACAAGTTAGTCGAAAGTAAACAATTTAAAAGAACTACGTATTCATTATTAAAAAGTTTGTAACATGTAAATAAAACCTTTCTTTTAAAAAAAAAAGAAATGTAACATATCATACTTAGATTTACTAGCGCCCGACTAGTGATGCTTGAATCTCTTCAAGGGTTCGACCTTTCGTTTCAGGCACCAAAATCCATATGAATATGATCGTCATAAGAGAAACTCCAGAAAAAACAAAATATGTTCCTGATAATCCAATAAACAAAAAAATATGGTGATAACTGATAAGCATTACCAAATACAATAATCAAGCATTATGATAATTTGAACCTATATGGTGATACACACTTCCCTTATTAGTACAAATCCCTTTAGTATGATCATTCTCTTAGATTCTAAAATGATAGAATTATTATATATATTTATCGTCAAACACAATTATCAACAATAAACAGGTTTGAGAATTTTGTGTTAATTTGAAGGAGGAAATAGAACTAACTTTTTAATAACCATGATAATCCAGACCGAAATGTAATATGATCTGGAAATTTTTGTTTTTTTTTTAAAACGTTACAGTAATTACAGTAAAAAAAAACGAAACTCTGATCAAATAATTCATGTCCTATTAATGAGTAAAACATTACCTGAAGAGCTCCATTGCATCATGAAATTGAAACTATAAATGATAATCCAACTGAAAAACCAGTTTGACACCGTTACAAGGCTACCTGCGGTGATTTTCACATTCAACGGAAATACCTGCCATATATTAAACGATATATTTTTATTATATCAAAGCTTTAAAATAGTTAAATAGTTTTTTAGTTAAAGAGAAGAGTAAGCAAATACCTCGGACATTATTATCCATGGTATTCCACCTAGACCAATGCAGAAGAATGAGACATAGCCCTTATATAAATATTTAGGTTGAGTAGTTTTCGTGGTTTCATCAAGTTTATTAAAATTAATTAATTGACTGAAAAGTAAGCTTGGTATTTACGTACCATTATACCGACAATTAACAAAACGGAACAAAACTTCTGAAATTCTCCATGCTTCTGCTCTTGGAGGGAAATACAAATTTAACTAATGAAGTATAGAAAAATTGAAAATCCCATCAAACTAATCCAACTATTAAACTGGAAAAGAAGACTAAACCTGAAGATAGTAAGAGAGGCCGATTAAAAATGAACATATGCACACACCAATCGAAGATATCTGCCAAAAAAGGGTTCAAAGAAGAAAACTACAAGTTTAAACCAAATTAAAGATCAGTTTTAGAATATACATATCGATAGTAATGAAATGCTAACCATTAGAAGCGGTCGGCGTCCCCATCGGTCAACAGTTAATATGACAACAATAGATTGAGGCACCTTAAAAAGAACAAGTTGTATCTAAACTAATAAGACGAAATACTCAAAGAAAGAGAATTGAGAAGTAAATAACATTGTTTTGTTTTACCAAAATAGCCGCGAGGATGGTTGTTCCAATGTCCGTTGGAAAATCTAATTATAGAAGACGGTAAAATGTTTTAAAATCTTGATCCAATATGAAACGAGTGACCTGTTTTTCATTTTTTATTTTTTTTGGGTTTACCGGCTTTGTCGAAAATACTAGCAGCGTAAGCACTTATCGCCGAGCTCCCACAAAATTGTTGCAAAAGCATTAGTCCCAATCCAATCTAACCGTTTTCAATGAAATTATATCAGACGGTTTGGTCCAGGTTAGTCAAAACTCAAAACTGGTAACACGTTTATTTAATTTAATTCATTTATAAATAATTGACAGGTGTTAGTTATCAAGATGAGACTTACGATTAGCGCATGAGCGTTTCTCATATGGAACAAATCCCTTACTCCATTTTCAGATTCTCTTCTTGAAATTTCCACTGTTTCCTGTTTCACATTAAAAGTAAAATTATAGTTCAAGGCTTTCGGTTACACATTTTATAACATAAATTGTAAGTATATTTCTTTGTCCAAAAAAATAATAATTTGTTTACTGCATTCATGTTTTGAATTCTCATACAAGGTTTTTTAGTCTATAACATAATATTTTTTCAGACATATTTTAGATATATAACAGTTATGTCTTTTTGGACAATTTGTTTTATAAAAATAAAAATAAATATTTACTCTGATTTCAGATGCTTCTTCGAGAATATCAATATTTTCTCCCCTTAGTCTCGTAAGAGTAACTTCAAGTTCTCGATCTCGACCATACATCGCCTAAGAGAAACATCAATATGTGTTGACCGTGCTTACTTTTTTTTTTATGTGTATAGTATTTCCAATAAACATATTATAAAATATAATTGAAGAAACAACTGAAAGTATTAAAAATACCAGCCATCTAGGAGATTCAGGAATAAAAAATAAACATATCGCTTGGATAGCACATGGGATTGCACCTAGTCACAGATTGGAAATTCAAAAATGAGTTGAATTATATGATTTAATTATAAACTTATTTGTTGAGAAAAAGTATAGTTACTTAGAAGAGCTAAAGTTCGCCAATGGAAAAAGTTTCCGGTAAAGAACATGAGCGAAATCCCAAAACATTGCAGAAGCTGCAAGTTCAAACCCAAATAATAATTAAATACTGAGTTTTTCTTTGTAACAAAAAACAAGATTGTATTATGATTCTAAAATTGTAAGTTACTTGATATAATTTTGTTTTTATTTTCTTACCTGATTTGAAAAGGTGAATCCTCCGCGAAATATTTTGGGTGTAATTTCTGCTATGTACACTGGAACCTGTACATTTTGACCAGTCGATCAAACAAAATCGTATGATACGAAATAATTGTATAGTTGATAGTTCTATAAATAGCTAAACGTTTTAATTACCACATAACTTATGAGACCAACCCCAAAACCCAAGAAGAGTCGTCCAATGTTTAGCAGCATAATATCCTTCAAATAATCACAACAAATCACATGTTATATTTTTAAAATTATAAAAAGTGTGAAAACACAATTTTTTTTAAAGAGTGCGATACGTACTAGAGCATATATATATATATATATATTTTGCATGTGTAAATTATAGATTTTTTTTTTTAAAAAATAGAGATTTGGGGAAACAAACATGTCCAAACGCTACAGCGAGCCAACCAAAGATGCAGCAGACGTCTGAGATCCACATTGTCTGAATATCAAATATTAAACGCATACATGACGTCAGTGTAGAAGATCCGAGATAAACGGGACTGGTCGAATAAAAAGGGTAGGAAGAAAATTAATTACTCGTCGACGACCAATGAGTGCAGCGAGTTTTCCGCTAAGCGCGGCCGTAATCATTCCTCCTAATGTCATTACTGAAGTGAAAAACGAATACTGGCCAAAATAAAAATAGACCATAAATACGATTTTTCGAAAAAAATAAAAAGTAGTAACAGGACAGTTAATTTGGCCTTAACAAAACACAAGCATTTAACTTTTGTTTTGTTTTTTACTTCATTGAACTAAAATGAAACGAAGAACCGCCAAAGTTTTAATTGATCTCGATAAAAAAATTAACCATAAAGTAATGATTTGGTAGCATTATATGAGATAATTATATATAAAATACTAACAAATTAAATAGAAATAAAGAATTGATACTGATAGGAACAGCGTGGTCGTGGACTTACATCTGCCACAGAAAGTCCCAGTTCTTCCATGATTTTGGATTGAGCAGGCGACGAATATGACATCTTCGAAACAGTGCACAAAATTAGGCAAAAAATTCCACAAAACTGATATATATCTTCAGATATGGTATATTGAAATCCACAATACGAAATCAAAGTAGAAAATCCAATATCACAGAAGATTTAACGAAAAGACAAAAAAAAAAGGAGAAAAGAAGGAAGACAGATGAAGAAATCTCACGGCGCAGCCATAACAGAAAGATCCAGCGACAGCGACGGAGGTGCTGAAGAGAACACCACAAGTGAAGGAAGAAGGGCTTCTTCTTGCTTCTTCTTGCTCCTTATTCAGCAGACTTTCAGATTCCATTTTCTTTGCGCTTTACCCAAACTTGTTTTTGTTGCTCTTCTGCTAATTCCGTTTTTTAACTTTGAATAGTCTTCAAACTTTTTAAATCTTTGTCGCATGTGAACAAGTGTTATATATTACTGATTTAAATATTTGATAAGATTAAAAAAGAGAAAAAATGAGTCTTTTACTTCAAATAGTAGTAAACTGTAAGAAGTCAAACGAAAGAGGTTAAAACATAAAAATCTTTCAAATAGGTTAAACTGTTAAAGTTAAAACGCCAGTAATAATAGCAGCGTATCTTTTTGTGATCACTTCCCAAAAAATATAAAAAACAGATGTACGGGCTAGATGATATGTCAGGCTGGCGATCCGCGTGATTCCATGTCTAACCAATCAGAGTTAATCATTGCAGCCTATATATTGAGAAGGGGAAAATCCCCAAAGGAACCCATCATAGAATTGACTTAGTTTTCGCTTCGATTTTCTGCAAAATTTCTTCAATCGTTCTTACATATTCCGCTTCAAAGGAGACGAAGATGAGCACAGGCGCAGGAAGCGGCACGACAAAAGGTGGGAGAGGAAAGCCAAAGGCGACCAAGTCCGTCTCTCGTTCGTCTAAAGCCGGTCTCCAGTTCCCCGTCGGAAGAATCGCCAGATTCCTCAAGGCCGGAAAGTACGCCGAGCGTGTCGGCGCCGGAGCTCCGGTGTATCTCTCTGCCGTTCTCGAGTACCTCGCCGCTGAGGTATAATTCCTCTCTCCTGATTATCTGTTTTTCGATTTCGATTTGATTCATTTCGAATTCGAATTCGCTTGATAGTTTAGATTTCGTATTTTTTGTCTGTCCTTGAATCTCGTACTGATTCGATTCGATACGATTCGATTTGACAGGTGTTGGAGCTTGCTGGAAATGCAGCGAGGGATAACAAGAAGACACGTATAGTACCGAGACACATTCAGCTTGCAGTGAGGAACGACGAGGAGCTGAGTAAACTTCTGGGAAGCGTGACGATTGCTAATGGAGGAGTTTTGCCAAATATTCATTCCAACCTTTTACCTTCAAAGGTCGGGAAGAACAAAGGAGATATTGGATCTGCTTCTCAAGAGTTCTGAGTTTCCTTTTAGTCATTTAGCTCAGTCTCTGTTGTTGGATTCCCTCTCGTGGAACTTATGTAAAATAGACCCCGAAGGTTTTTTCGGGGATCAAATTTAGTTAAAAGCTTAAGCATATGATGGGTTACGGAGAATATGTTCAATGATGCAAATTTCGGAATCGATCATAGGTTTCATTCAATATTTCCAATTGCTTTGTTTAGAGGTTCAGTTTAACATGATTTCCAATCGCAAGAGTCTGTTTACAAATCTTCGTTTGTGGAGCCTAATCTCAACTGCGAACAATTTCATTTCTAACGCACACAAGTGTTTACATAAAGCAAAACTCAGTAAGAAGCTGAAACACGCAGTGGCATATAAACGGAGAAGTGAGAAGTCTTTACGAAAGAGAGAGTAGGCCAAAGAAGACATCGGTTCCACTAGCTCTAACACAATTTGTCCGTTTCTTTTAACATATATGTGATAGTTATCGTCGCGGGGATGTAGGTCAAATGGTAGAGCGCTCGCTTTGCATGTGAGAGGCACAGGGTTCGATCCCCTGCATCTCCAATTTTGTTTTTTTAAGGTTTGTGCTGCGCTTTGTTTGACGGCTGCGATCACGCAACGTCATTCTTATCGTCGGTGTACAGTCTTGTGTACGTGCTTATTATACACAAACCATCAATTCACCGCTCCCAAGTTTACAACACTAGAATGTTCATTTTTTTTCCAACTTAATCATCAAAAATTTGAATAAACTGTTTAAATATTTTGTAAACTAACACATAATTAGGAAAATAAAGCGCAGTGGACAAATTTCACTTAGACTGCCGTTCAGTACGTTCCATGCTTTTGGATCTCTCTATGAGTGAAGAGTGCCTCAAGATCAAATGATTAGTAAGTAGTTGATTTATAAATGTTAATCGAAGGATGAGTGTAGTGAAAGTTAGAAAGAGATATAGGGAGTGATGAATAAAGCGAAGCTATATATACATTTAGCATTTTCTTGTATGTTGTTTTTCCCCTAGTAAATACTGGTCTCTATTTCCAGCACAAGTAACATTGTGTTGTGAATTATGATGATAACTATGCAAAATAAAATGAAATTTCTGAAAAGAAGATGAACTCAAGTAGCCGGAGGAGCGCCGACCGGATTAATGTTTCGGGAGCGAACATAACTCAGAAACTGGCCGGGAAGTTCTTCTAGAAGCGCCTGCACCACCGACACTTGTCCACCTGCATCGACCAAATTCAACATTTTAGTACCAATCCAAAACTGCTTTTCTCTCTGTAAGGATGTCTTTGTATATTAAAATATAAAACTAATTACTCACTGTGGACTTCTCTCATAGGGACGAACTGAACGATGTCCCGTGTAGCTATCCGACCAGTAGAACTCTCCAACCGGCGACCTTTATCAGCATCAAGAATCTGAAAGAATTTACAAGGCCAAAGTCATACTTCACCCAAAACAATCATCATATGCATGTTTTACTTGTCAACTAGTCCTAAACTAAACAAAAAAAAAACTTTGTACCTCCATTTGTTTGAAGTCTGCGTTTCCCACGCCGACGATAAGAACTGACAACGGGAGATCAGAAGCCCTCACCAATGCGTCCAGTGTACCAGCCATGTCTGTTAGGACTCCATCCTGTTCACACAACCAAACATCAAAGATAGGATCACTTGTAACAGATGCACATTTTGATCTGAACCGGGTCAGAGTCCATTACGAATCCTTGTTTTTTCAGTCTCTTACCGTAATGATGAGCAGAACAAAGTACTTGGGATTGTTTTGTGAGAGTGACTGTGAAGCAATATGAGCAGCCCTGTCGACCACGTGGCTGAATAGAGTTGGTCCCGCTAGAGCAACATTGTGAAGGGCACTCGCATAAGCTGTCATGATTCCTTCAACTCCAACAACCTGGGAGATAAAACACATATTAGTAGAGACAACATTTCCTTCTTATCGATTTTATAATATATATACACCAGCACGAGCATAATCAGTTTTGTCTCGTGAGTTACCTCATCGCCATATGAGGCTCCATTCAAGTTAAAAGCATGGGACACAGAACCATCCGCTATTCTTCCTCCAAAACCCCAAGCAGGAAAACGCCTATCGGAATCATAAAACTGGATGACCTCTCCTACTTCCATTATAGCCTGGAAAAGAAACCATATGTTTACAGATACGATAGATCAAAAGGAGAGAGAGAAACAGTAATGAGATTTTACTACATCAAAAGTCAGATTGCAAACATATATCAGACTGCATACAAAAGAATTGCATGGGAAACAATGGTACCTTCTGATATGAGTTTAATCTGCCTGATGGATCATTGTAGTGCAAGGAACTAGAAGTTCGGGGATCACCATTTGATGCTGGAAGGCAGACCATCAAATATTAAAACTCAAGGTTTTTCTCAGAAGATATAAGATGTGTATAAAGTGGAAGAAGGTGAGTCACCAGTGAAATCAACTGCAACCATGAAGTTTAGCTCGAATCCACTGGATATGTAATCAAGAAAGCTGTATTGAACTTTCTCCACAAACCGATCCACGATGAGCTGGCCTTTCAAAACCTACAGAATCCCGACATAAATCCTCAAGAAAACAAATGCAAAGAACTGTCCTAAGATTTTACCCAGGTGGTGTATGTAAGCACCTTGTTGCGACCGTGACTTGTGGATGGATAGACAAATCTTGCAACTTCTTTGTGGAGGCTAAGTCTCTCAAGTTCAGCTACAGATTTCTCTGTCGTCCTGCGAGGATCAAAACAATTCTCAGTAACAAGAAAAAGCAATATATGTTGCGGCCCTTTAGAAGAGTAAAAGGTTGAAGGTTAACATTTTACCCAATAAGCTCATGATTCCCGTTGCTATTGAAATCAAAGCATTCGATAACTAATGGGGTATCCTGCATATTAGACCGAATAAAAACGATTCAACAGATTGATAACTTCAAATATATACGATTGAATTACATTAAAAACCACTAGCTTACTTTGCTTCCAAATTGCTGCATAGTCAAGCATACTGGCCTCCACACGGGGTTGAGGTTGTTGTCCACTACCTCAGTCCGGCATATCGGGACTGCGACACTGTTCTCAACTATTCTTGAAATTCTTAAGAAAGGATCCTAGAAAGAGAAAATAAAAATAAGAACTAGAAACTTGTGAAAGAAATCTTAATATCGTTATGGAACAAGACAAGACAAGTTTGCACGTACACTCTTAGAGAAGAGGTCCTTGTTATCCAAATTGACACAGCGAAAATCCATCTCGACTACAGTTTTAGAGGCAACGGTTTCTTCAGCTTGAACAGAGAGTGTTCCCAACTTTCTACTCACACCAGCTCCAAAGTTACCAGCAAGATTTAATGTCACAGACCGGTTAGGTTTTGTCATAATCTGGTGGATTGGAAGAAGAATGGTGTTAGAAAGAAGATTAAGATATGTTGTAGACAGAGGACAGTAACAGAAACTAATTACCAAACAACAGTAAACCCAGCAAGTGGCAGCGTCAAATTACTCATATTTTTTTTTACCTCGGATAGAACACAGGTGGCTTCTCCCAAGTAATCCTGGTCCTTCAGCTTTAAAGTCTGCAGGGTCATACAGTATGTTGAAACAATATTTGAGGTGTAATATTCATAATCAAAATGCATACTTGTTTATCAATGGATTTTACTATCAATGAAAGATTACCTTCACTGGCACATTGTGATATCTGGTATCGACATCGTACACGTGAAAGCTGAAAAGAAAAAGAGTCATATAAGTTGACAGTATTCCGGTGGTTAAAACATGCGTGAATCATCAGAGAATAATTGTTCAAAGTAGCTTACACTAATGTCTGAACAGCTTCGAACTGAAAAGAGACTGTTATCTTTTCAATCCACTTTGGATTCAAGCTGTTAAGTACGACTTCAGTACGGCCAATTTCCTCAAGTTTACCATCTTTTTTCCTCAAATACATGACAGCCATCGGGTCACTCTACAACAAGTCGAAAATTCATTAACTTCACAACAAGATAAAGATAGTCCTCTAGTTCAAGACTCATCTTAAGCAGGACGCAATTAAATTATCCAAAAAGTTTTAAACTAGTAGCATAATATGAAATTTTCAGTGCATGCAAAGAATATTCTGTAGTAGAAAACTGATTAATAAATGGTCAGGGTATACCTTAGATGTGATGTCACGGTCAATCAAGTTTGAAGCCGACAAAGATAACTGGAAACGCAATAGCATAATGTTAATGACAACTTAAAATTAAAACTGTGACTAAAGGAATTATAATATACGATGAATATGAAGAAGCAAAAGTAATAGTGTAAACTCATAAGCAATAATAGCCAAGAATCCAGAACAAAATTTACTAAAAACAAAGAAGGGATCCCGAACAAAGAATCCATGCTATACATTGTATCTTAAGAATATTCTATAAACTAACCCCACACCATAAGAGAGAGAGAGAGAGAAAAAAAACATCGACAAAGACCACACAAGTCAATGGTTGGCTCCATTAGAAAAGTACAAGACAACTAGTCGAATATCTTATCCACTACTGTATATAAAGTGGATTTCTAAAGCAAAAAACAAAGATTCAGAAACCGACATGCGTAGATGATCCCAACCAGAAATCTGAGGAAAAATAGTCATGTGTTTATTTTTATATAATTTAGAGTTTAGCAATATTCTATTGACAGTTTGCAACTTGGTTGACTTATCGAAGTGTGGCGAAGTATTATATAAAGTAAACACATTACACACAAATTCAATCTTCAGAGTGAGAGACAAAACACAAAACCCTAACATTTGGTGAAGGTACCTCGATCTGGGAAAAGAGAGGAAATTGACCACGAGATCGGAAGAAGAAATCGACGGCGTCATTGTGCGCCGCATTGTTGGTGGTCGTTGAGGTGGGCCTCTGCTGGACCCCTCCGATGGCTTGTTTGCCTCCTTCCACATCTCCAGATAAACAATTTCCCATTCTCTCAATTTTCTTCACAATGCAGATTAGCCTAGCAATTCCCAACTTTCACAATGCAAGACTCTGCAATTCTTCTCTATATATATATATTGAAAGAGATATACGCGTGAGAGACTTGAATGAATATTCTAAAGATGTTTATTTTAATTTTAAAGAAAACTTGATGATAATATCAGGAAACTTTAACAAAAAAAAAAAGGAAATATGTATTGAGTCTTTTGACGATATGAGTGACCTTCCTAGAAAAAGAGGCAGAACTAAATAGAGGAGAACCTGAATTCTGTTGGTATTACTATTGACTATTTTGAGTATTTTCTATTTGATTTGATTAAAAACGCGTTTTATAAAAACACTTTTCTTGAGTATTGAACAGTTTTATCAGAAATTGTTATAAACTTTCTCTCCAACTTCTCTTAACGTCTATAACCACAAAGTCATATTTTTGTATTACTTTATATGCATTTTAATTTGAAAACCTTCCCGGAAAAAAGATGCAACTTTAGTTTCATGGTGAAAGTCGAACCTGATGAGAAAGTTCAGTTTTTTGATGGTTTATTAACTTTAGTTTGCGTCTGGTTTAATCTAAAGTATTAAGGTTTGCAAATAATGCAAAAAAAAAAAAACTTAATGATTATCTATTGGCTAATAAAAAAAACCTGAGTAACTCACACGTTGATTCCTTGAATGTCCAGGAAAAGGGAAATTAAGAGTCAAATGGAAAAGGAATCTAAGCAAGCTTTTTAATTTGTTGATCAATTATCAAACGACGATTATCAATCAAAGAACACACTTGACAACATATTACAGTATTTTCTTTGTCATTTGTTTTTTTTGTTCCAAGAATTGATGGTTTTTTGTTTTATTTCCGGTTACGTCATAACGGGCCGGCCCAATAGCCAATTTACACTATAGAGACGGCAAAAAGGGTCGAACTCCGGGTGAGAAAATGCAATATTTGATGGTATAGTAACTTTACTTTGCGCCTAATTTAATCATTAAAAATGGGGAAATAATATGGATTCAAACCATAGTTTCAACACAGACATAAACATGATTTCGTATCTAATCGAGGTAGATTTTAACATCAATTCCGTTATCAATAAGGGACTGGACAACAGCTCTGATTTTGCCTTCAAACTTGTCTTGGTCTCTTGGCGTATAGGAAGCAGTGTAAACATCAGCCTCTTTCGCACGTTCAGACAAGATCCTCCCTATGGACATACATGCCGGGATATCGCATCTTGACCTCAAAACCGCTTTTACGTCTTTTGAGTTTGTTCCCGCAACAGCAACTTGCTTACATGTGACACGGTGCGTGAGAGATGCCGAAACAAAGCGTTTTGAGATGAAGACATCGAGTGTGAACGGCTCCATGTACGCCACTGTCCGTTGCTTGAACGAGACATGCTTGTCTGGATTCTTCGATTTCTTCTCTTTTTGGTATGTGTATGGTCGGCTTGTGTCATCGTCCATGTAGTCTTCTACTCCAAAGAAGCTTCTTGGTGCAAGAACAGTCTGTCAAAAATGGCAAAAACAAATTTGAAAAAGCTACCAAGCAGGCCTAGTTGAGAGATTTCAATCAAACAGTGGTCACCAAGAAAGATTTGGACCAGAGTGTACACATCTGATTCGAACGAATTCACTTCACTTCCCAATCCTAGTAAAAATCAAACTATTCGCTCAAAGTGAAAGGATGGTGGCATACCCGTCCATTGTGAAACCCACGACTGGTTTGGCACAAGAAAGGTCTAAGCTTTCCTATCGAATGCTTGCCAATCACTTGCTTAAGCATTATCATCTGCACCAAACGATTGAAAATAACTCAGTAAGACTTCAGTCACGACAAAAAAAAAAAAAAACACAAGGAAGAAGCGTGCTCATAAACACATTCCCTATTGCCCAGAAAACGGAAGCATATGGAATATGTAACAGAGAAGACAGACTCGACTACTCTCAATAACAATCCAAAGACATCAAGGTTACATAACATAGAGAAATCCATTCACAACAGCTAAAAGCTTGTGCCAAGAATATGTAATTTCTAATTGCCAGCAATCCTGGCTTAAATCATTTGAGGATCAAAACCCACGATATACTCATAACAGTTTTACAGGAAAAAGGTTTAAACTTGACTCGTACGCAACGCGAATGCTAAGCACCCAGTATCTGGAAACTCGATTTGGAGAAGATAATATAATCTAACGCACATAGGACCACTATAATCGATAAATTACCACACTGAACTTAATTAAAAGAAAAAGCTGAGAGAAGAAAGAAGCAGGGATAAGAAAAACCTGAGAAAAGACTACAGCCCGGAGAAAGGGGAGAATATGTTGCGAATCGGGAAAAAGTGACCGGCGACCTGAGAATCGATGGCCAGAGCACGACGGGTTGATATTGCGGAGAGTCGGAGACCACTCAGAATAGAAGAGACCTAAAAGAAATCAAGTTCTTAGTGGATTTCTGGGTTTACACCTGGTTAAGTACATTAATTGGAACCCGAACCGAATCAGCTGGTTGAACCGAAATACTTTTTTCGGTTAACGCTGAATAAGACAGGGCGTTTGATTTTCAGAGGTTCAGAAACTTCACTTCGCGGCTCTCTCACTGTCTCACTCGCCGTCGCCGTCTCCGTCTCCGGCACCATCGCTTTCTACTTCTCCATACCCGGTTAGTCTACGAAAGCTGGTTTTACTTTCTCAATTTGTCAACAGTTTTCTTGTAGATTATGGTTTCTTCTTTTCGTTGTCGGGTTCTACATTTCGTTCTGAATTTTCAACTTCCTCTACGATTTTCAGAATTTCCGGAGCTTGTTTATGGAAGCTTCTATTGCGTGTAGGTTTTGTGGAAGCTCGATTATTTCTGAAATCTGTCGGATTCTCGGAGTTGCCGGGGCTGCTTCGTCAACTGCTTTCAGGATTTGTTGTTTGATTCTCTGAGAGTGATCTCGCGAAAGGTATTTGATTTTATGCTCTGGTTGTTTAGAGAGTTTCAGATTAAGATACATCCGAATCCATGAGACGTTACAATGCATCACTGAAAGATTTATATTAAGGTTGTAGTTTTAGGCAAAGTCAATATGCACAGAGTTTTGATTTCATATCTGCTGTTCAAATCACCAAATTTCTGCTTCTCCAGTAGTAGCCATTGGAAATGCCGCCAAGAAAGAAGGCCAAGTCGTCAGCTTTGAAATCAAACAAACAATCTTCAGCAAATCAGTCCTCACAACCTTCCAGTTTTGGTATCCAGCAGTTGTTCCTTCGACATATTCAGAACTCCCAATCAACTTCCAGCACTCATGTCTCCACTGCCGAACCAGTTGATCCCGAGAATGTTAATGGGCTTGCCACTAACACCGGAGTTTTAAGGCCTCACAATCCTCCAATCACGCTGGATGAGAAACCTGATGAGTCCAAAGATGTGGACCAGCAACCCACGGAGGCATCTCCTGAGGTCTCCAAAAACATTAAGCGCTTCAAATTCTCACCTGGAATGGTGGTTTCTTTTCTTCTATCTCCTTATATTCTATTTTTTGTAATTTAGTTTGTGATTATTTGTGACTTGATTACCGACTAATGTAATTGCTAGATTCCATTCACCCTATTAACTCTGACAACATGGTATATTCATGTAATTCTTACATGATTCATTTATTTTGACAGCTGATCAAGCCAAGTCAAGATGATGGTGGTGAGGAGATAACTTGGAAAATATCTCCTGTAAATGAAAGACTTCGGGCAGCTGCCAAGCAAATCCCTAAGATGATGGACTTGACAGAATATTCAGTAGGGGTTAAATCTTCTACCATTCGCCCATGCTCTCAGCAGATAGTGCAGAAACAATGTCCTACACCAGTTATAACTTCCAAGGTTGAGCAGTGGTTATCTTCACCCTCAAAAAAAGCTTTCAAAAGGCCGGCTTTTGCAGCAACTAGGGTCGTGGAAAGGGTAAATCCTTCGCCAGCTGCGGATTTCGAAATTGTTAACACTTCAAGTAGCGGAGACAGTCCTTTCCAAACCCCACCGTCACTCTCATGCTCTCACAACAAGGTAAATGTTTTTCCTGATAAACAGTTCAATGATCACATTTTGTCTACTTCCTAACTTTGCTCTGTTTTATATTAGCTTCCTTGTACTGTAACATGCAGTGCAGCTTGTGGATTTATGGGCGCTGGACAACATAAAAAGGTATGATTTGAGAATTGATGCACTCCTTTAGATGCTTACCAAAGACACTTCTTCATGTATGTAGTACGTTTCGTAACTTAGAACAACTGTGGTTGATCAATACTACATGCATTATTTCCTTCAAAACTTGTTTTCCACAGCATATCAATATATTATTTCTGCATTTTACTTTTTTTGTAGGCCTTGCTTGAACTTCTAGATCAAGTGGAGGATGTCATCTCAGTTGATGACAAAACAGCTGATGATGTGAGGACTGTGACGCCCCAAGTTAGAGTTAAAGATGATAACATCTGTTCCGTCGTTGACTCCGCTGTAGACGGAGGACCAATTACTCTACTAAAAAAACATACTTCAGTAAATCCAGATAACCATTTCCTTGTATTGGAGGTCAGTTGGCTTTTATCATCATTGGGGGTAGCTATGTGGTTTTTATGTGAAAGTTTCTCATTGTCCCGATTTGTACTTCAGGTATCTGAGAAACGTGGCTCAGTTGGCTCATCTAAGGTTCAATGCCCTTATAAGGTTTGTCATGTAATTGAAGGGTCTCTTTCGTGTACATGCTTATATTTTCTGACCAAATTTCTCTCAGGTTCTTCGCCTGCTAGACGAGTACACTGGAAAAGTATGCGCTTTATATCTCTGGGATGAATGGTACGTTTTTTAAGATGAAATTTAGAGAGATCCATGCTTTTCAGATCAAATTGCTGCAAAAATCTCAAGCGGTCTTTGCTCCTCCAATCAATGCTTGATGCATCTACTACGCCTTGTTCTTTGATGTCTTGGTCTCATATTCTCATGCCATGAAGTTTTTCAATTGTGGGCTGATAGCATACTTCACATATTGTTGTTGTTAATCTTTCATACTTTCATACTCTTAGCGTGTGGGGCAGCTAATGTCATTTATTCAGTTCCCAGATGGCTGAAACTTAGTTAACTAACCTAAGTTGCTTCCTGAATACTGAAGGCTTACTGTTCCCAGGTTTTACAGCACTGTATCACCAGGAGATTCAATCAATGTTATCGGAGATTTTGACGGGGATGGCAAGTGTGACGTGGACCATCAAAATAATTTTTTAATTGTTCATCCTGATACCCTTATTGCTGGAACTAAGGTATCTTCTCCTCTTCCCTTTATGTTTTGTGATTACGAAAACCAATCTTCTATGAACTTTATTGTTTTTTTAGCTTTTGTTCTGAGCTACTGTCCTACCTTTCAGGTTGCAGCAAGTTTTGGTTGCCCAAGGCGAACTGTGCTAGATGAGAGGCTAAGATCCAATGAACATGCTACAGCTGCCTTGCTTGGAACCTTGCTACACCAAGTTTTTCAGGTTTACTACCTTTGATGAGACTCTTCGACTGGAGTATATTCTACACCAATGAGTATTTTATTTTGGTTATTTCTTGCAGTTGTAGTGTATTAATCTGTACTAACCATTTGCTTTGTTTTCCAGGCTGGTCTCACGCAAGAGTCTCCATCTGTAGATAGTTTGCAGGAATATGCGAGCATAGTGATTAAGAAAAATATTGAGAGCTTATATGCATGTGGAGGTTAATTACTACATTACGTGTTCCTATTATTTGAGGGTTCATGCACATATTATATAAGTAGGATACCTCTTATTTGTATTAGAATTCTGAGTTAATTTTGGTAGGGATACCTCTAATTTATATTAGAATTTGAATTAATATGGCTATGATACCTCTTGCTCAATGTGCTTTATAGATTCAAATTTCTTCAAAAGCTCTGTGTTAAAGAAAATGCTAATAGTTGACCTAAAGAAAGTCTCTTAAGCATTTTCTTATCTGCTCATATTTCTCTACAGTGCATGAGGGAGACGTGAAAGCAACTATACTTGGAGCTATCCCGAAAATGTTGAATTGGATTCATAATTTCAGATATTCAAAGGTGCACCAGTATTTTTGTATTTAAGATTCTTTCTTAAGTTTCTTAGGGCTGTTATATCACTGTTTCCGTAGATGACCGTAATTTTGTTTGGCTACTCTTTTGTTTGTCTGTTCTTCAGATATTTTTATTTTTGTCTCGCATACATATCAAAATGCGTTATGCTCTTATGATGCGTTGGACTTGTTTTCTCGTTTATGTGCTTGTGCTTGTTTGATAATCATATATTTCTCATATTTTCTGTTATACTACCTTTCACTTACATATATCCAATAACAAAGTACATAACCAAGCTCGTAGTGGCAGTGATTTTTATATTTATTTTTGTGTGTGATTGCTAATTAGTAAAATCTTTGAGGCAGTTCGTGCGTCTTCTATCTCTGATTCTCCCCGCCCCCTTAAAATGCATGATTTTCTAGTAACCCTAAAGGCAGAAAGATCTTAAACTCATGGGATGCTCATTGTAAACAGGACTCAAGGATATCAAATGTTGATTTTGGTTCTACCAACGGGCAGAAAATGATTAAGATATCAGAGGTGAAGGGCTCTCTTATTCTCACTTTCTGTCCTCTTAGGATTTCATTTCTTTCAGGTGAAGAACAGAACCAATTTGTTGGTTCAAGCGGATGCATCCTCATTGAACCAAACCAATAAATTTAAAGTTGCATAATAACCGTTGATTATTTTAAGCAATCTCCTCTTATGAGACTTCTATTATGTATATAAGCAAATTTTCTTACCTCAGGTAATTGACATCGAGGAGATGTCATGGGCCCCTAAATATGGTCTGAAAGGAATGATTGATGCTTCAGTCAGAGTGATAGTTGAATCTGAGATGAACACAGCGAACGAGAAAATAATGCCTCTTGAGTTTAAATCTGGAAAAGCTCCTAGTGGTCAGGTCTGTTTGGAGATCTATCTAGATATTCGGTTGAAATTTGTAAGTTCCAAAAGCTTATTAACAACTAAGATGTGATCTTTATTGTGTTGTGCAGTCATCAATGGAACATAGTGCACAGGTGATCTTGTACACTCTCCTTATGTCTGAGAGGTGCTCATGTGCTGACTTTCTTTCTTTCCTTTTTTTTGGCTGGAAAACAGTCAGTAGTTAACATCTTTTGTTTCTATGTCACAATTTTCCCATTTGCAGGTACCTAAAGCATATTGATAATGGCCTTTTGTACTATCTGCAGTCAGATCAGACACAAGTAAGTCACGATGTTATGTGCCTTTTTTTAGTCTCAAGATAATATTTGAAGTCACTAAGCTTTCAATGCTCACTTGTAAAGGGAATTTCTGTTCAAAGATCAGATTTGGTGGGTCTGATTATACGTCGTAATGAACTTGCAAATGACATCCTTGTGGC